GTCAGAGGTAGCTAATTAAAGTAAACTGCAAAAAGTCGCTATGGGCAAACTGTATCAATTATTCATGAATTCATTTTCTGTTATTATTCTACTGGCACAGTTAGAAAGGTTTAAACGTAACTTCTTTTCTCTGCCCCCCCCCCCCCACCATCCTTTACTTCAGTTTACCCACTCGTGGTAACCTCACTTCTCTCTTTGCCAATGCGACACACACACAATCCCCCCCCCAGGGAGAGAATGGGGTTTAGCCACTCTGCCTCAGGTTTGTCCCGGCTGTCAGCATTGAAACTCTTGAGACCGTCAGCTCGGCTAAATCCGTTCCTACGGCGCTCTGTTAGCACTGAACCCTGGAACAGGTGAGAGCCCATCCCCCCGCTGCCTGCGCCTTCTCCACCGCGTGTTGGCTGGCCTACTTACTGTGGAAGTCCATGCTGTTCTTTCTCAGGTCGTAGTGAAATGGCTGAGAGTGCTATTGAAACATTGAACATGCAGCAGGGCGGGAGCAGGGTTAGAACAGATTGTATTGTCCTGTTCCTCATCCACTCTAAACTGCATTCTGCCATGAGCGGGGTGCCCCCCCCCCCCCCCCCCGGCCCCCTCCTACCCCTTGCAACTGGCAGGCATGCCCTCCCGAGATGATGTTCGGGTCGGTTCATTCGGAACCCAGATGCAGACACCGAGACGGAAGAATAGGTGGGAAAAAATATTTATTTTTATATGGACATTTATCCAGTCTAGTCTGCAGTTGCAAGGTGCTGGTTGGGCGGCGATGTTGCCTGGACATCCACTGGTTAGGTTCAGCGTTAGCAAAGTGCGAAAGAACTGAGAAGAGCCGAGCGTTTATCTACCACTCTGGTGGACAAACGATCTAGCTTTGAGACCACAGGAAGCCGTTTTTTTTCATCTGCCGCTGACGAGGGTCCAATGATCCACAGGTGAGGAGGCCTGATGCCAGCTGATTGCAGCCATGCCCAAAAGGTTCTCCTCCAGCAGTGTGAGCACAGTAGAAACCATCAGCCGACAGGCTCACTAGTCATGAGTTTCTAACTCTGACCTACTGTGCCTTTTAGTGCATGTTGGTGCATGTCAGCGTTGTTGGTGGTCCTGGTACCACAGACCCTAACCCAGAGGCTGTGTTGACTTACTGAAAACGAAGGCAGCCTGAACAGGTCACATGGGGAATAACATATCCGGTAACAGAGCTTAGACCTTTAGACACATCCAGGCCCCCCCACACACACCTCCCCCACGCATGCATTCACTGTGTAGAAGCATGAAGGATATCATGTTCCATTCCAATATAACGTGCCAAAGACAGATTTGTCCAGATCTGGAGCCAACGTGCCACTTTATATTTAGAGGCAAAACTGTGAGTGTTGTGGCTGCAAAGAAGGACCCCCCCCCCCCCCCAAGCCCATCTAGATATCTGTCTCTCTTAAACTGAAAGCTACTGAGTGCTAATGCTTGTTGAGAATGAGCTCCATTCGTTGACACCCTGCTTCCTCAGGATTTCAGCTGTACTACAGAAGAAGGCCAAAATCTTCCCCCAAGAGTTTGTGTTCCTGAAGAGTAAAAAGGGGGTCAGATCAACAATGGGTGGGGGGAGGTAAGAGTGAGGGCCATATGTTTACATCTTCCATACAAGATACAAGCAGAGCAGTCGACCCCTGAGACCAGCAAAGAGAACAAGCAGGCTGTCTGTGGCCTTCCCCTATCACCACGTCGCCATGGCAATGGACTGCCGATCACATGGCTGTCTCGCTGTGCCAGTCATGAGTTGTCCAGAGGTTGTATGCCTTTATTTCTGTTCACTACTGTGAAGCCCGGGATAAACCCTGGCAGCCACATGGCCCCCAACAGGAAGTGAGGCATCAATCCACTGCACAATAATTGCATGGTGCCCCCCCCCCCCCCCACGAGGTTTATGCCAGCTGACTCAAAGCTCCTTGTACGGAGCCTCTATTCTATTCTTAGCCCATATAGTGTAAAGAAGGAGCTGTTAGTCCAACCCTGACCGTGATGTCTTCCTCTGGCTCCGCTTCTCCTGCGTTTCTGGAACTGGAACGAAGCAAACATACGTCCATGGATGATTCTGTATATACTCACATATCACATGACTCCCTCCAAACTGTGTTGGAGGCTTGGCCAGTTAGCAAAGTGACCAAAACCAATGCTGAAAGACTTGGTGATTAATCAGATCCGATACAGCAGTGCTCAACATTCTCTGAAGCCAGTTTTAAAAATGTGAAACGGTATACGGCTTTTTGCCTTACATCAATGTACTGTACGCCCCCTGTTGGTTGGACAATGAGATCGATTTTGTATCAGTTAGAAACAGAAAGAAAGGGATTTTCTGTCCTGTATTACTTGGGATTTGCATTTCCTTATAAATCCTTTAGCGCTCTTATCCAGAACAATGTCACATAAGATTTGAATCCACTATTAAGGCAAAAGGCGTCATTTGAAGCCCGGATGTGCCTGAGGCTTTACAGTAGGAGGGGAAACATTACGTCATGAGAAAAAGCTCTTCCTTTTTTTCCCTTCTTTTACCTGACTCCAACATGTACACCAGTGGTCCAGAGCTGTGCAGCAGCATCCAATCACGTCCCTGCACACTCTCCTTCACACACTCTGTGGCGGTTACCAAGGAGACAGAGAAGTCTGGGAAGTGGAGCTGTGGTTTGGCATGAGGTTTTTTTTCTCTTTCCACAGCCCATATTGCATAGTACTACCGGGATTGTTTGTTTGTCATAGAATACAGATATTCCAGTACATGTATAAGAGCAGACGTGGAGGCTCTGTCACCTGAGCGGGCTTCCTTTTGGAATCCTTAGGAATCTGTCAGCAAAGGCGAATTTCCTTGTCCGACTTCAGTGGGCAGATCAAAGACGACATGTCAAGCCTCAGTGTATGAAGCCAGCCGAAAAATCTAATACAGCGAATATCAAAAAATAGACGTAAGTAAAGAATGAAACTAAATATTTTATTTAAAAATGATAGAACTGGGTCAAATTTTTATTCAACCCCCCAAAAAACTTATTACCACTTATTTTTATTTTGAATACTTAAAACTTTCAACCTAAATTTGGCTCCATATTAGTGGGACATTAGTCCTCCAGAGCCTACACACACATGCACGCTATAACAACCACAGCAAGTAGCGAAAGCTAGCATTGCCGAAACACGGGAAAGCGCAATTTGACGCTGTTTACAGTCTCTTTTTTTCTTTGATTGCCTTGAAAACTAAAGTATTGTTAATTCATACATGTCAACAAATCTGCCTGTCAAATCTAATGAATATATATAAACGTTTCCATGTCTAATTACTACAGAAAAGATACTTTGATAACAGAGAGGCATTAAGCACACTAAGCCAGATATCTTATTGTCAAAGGCCACAATTGGGGTCCAGGAGATGGTGACAGCAGTGATGGTGATTCTTTAACCAACGTTAGTTGGCGAAAAAACAATGTTTACAATGACAAGGTACGTCTGCCCGGGTTAGGGCAATACCAGCGCACGGCTAGATCACCGGTGTTAGCGTCCTTTTAATGACGTTAAGACCATTTTAACTTTCATAATTAAAACACAATTTGGCTCGAAAGATAAGGACGAAACCCTTGCTTTAACACTTAAATCACCTGAATACATTACAGCAGAGGTCGTCAACAGGGGGTCCGCGACCCCCAGGCGGTCCTCGGAGGTACTGCAGGTGGGGCAACGATTTTTTTTCCCCCACAAATTTAAATGTCTCCAGAATCAGAATTGTATTTATTGTCCTTAAATACACATTGACGTGAATCCAACATATTGTGGCGGACTGATAAATTGATGGAGAAGACGTCATCTTTCAGTCCCTCAGCAGCTCTCTGAGGCTGGGCACCGGCTCACTCACAGCTCCTTCCATGCAAATACGACATCACAGGCAGCAGCCAATCAGATCGCCTTTATGCTCACGTCTAAAGAGCGCGAAGCTCAAAAATAAAAGATGGGGGACCAAACACCAAAATAGGGGGTCCCTGCTGCATCTCGCCATCAGTTTGGGGGGGCCTTGGCCTGAAAAATGTTGACCTCTGCATTATAGGATTATTTTTATCAATAGTTTAACTGCCACCGTGATCTCTAAGCCCCCCGGGGCTGTTTGCCCACTTAGTCCCTGAGGGTCTTTTCCTGCCATCAGACACAAAGAAGTCTCCTCTCTCTCCTCCCCCCTCGCAGGAAACAGTTTGCTGCATTGCTGTACAGTACGTCTGCATCTCCCCTCTGCTTTGCTTTTACTCTCTCTCTCTAATCCCTCTCGTGAATGATTCATTTGAAGGGTGAGACGGGGTGAACACAATATGGCTGACACAGTCATCTACCCCCCATGACCTCCGCTGTATATCTCTCTCCGCCTGCTTTGTCTCTTCCTTCTCTCTCTCCTCTTTCCCTCCATCTTCCTTCTGCTCACCCCTCCAGCTCCGTTGTCAGCACGCCTCTCATTGGTTAGTGTCGCTGTGCTCCATGAATTCATCCGCGCTCCCGTGCACCCCTCAGCCCCCCCGAGCCGGCCTCCGCTCCTCCAAAGACGCTTTGGCGGGCTATGATTGCCCATGTGGGGGATTAGGTCTATCCACAGTGCAAGCAGCTCCACTGGTCAATTCTCCCACACTCCTCCACTCCTCCGCTCCCTTCACTGGCTACCGGTGGCCGCCCGCATCCAGTTCTAAACATTGGTGCTCACGTACCATGCTGTGAATGGATCGGGTCCGGCTTACATCCAGGACCTGGTCAAACCCGACATCCCGACCCGCACTCTCTGCTCTGCATCTGATAAACTGCTCGTTCCTCCCTCACTGAGAGCAAAACACTCCACTAGATCACCACTCTTTGCTGTCCTGCTCCTAAATGGTGTAACAAGCTCTCTGATTTATTCATGAGAAATGTGATCGATATCCACCTTATTGTCTCGCTTAGACAGAAAGACACACGATTAAAACTCTCCCCTCTCGTTCTTCCAGATGCAGATTCTTGACAAGTTCCCAATTGAGGGAGGGCAGAAAGACCCAAAGAAGAGGATCATCCCATTTCTGCCAGGTAATAGCCTGTTCCAGAGCCCCAGGTATCCAAACAGGCTCCCATATTAATAATGTATGGATGGCACTTGTAGGGGGTCAATATGAGCTGGTTACTGATGCCCGCTTGTGTGTGTCTGTGTTTGCTGACTCGGCCCTTTCTGTGACTTTGAAATCTCAGCCGTGTTCAGCACGGTGGTACGTCCATGATTTCCAGTCTTTTGTTTTAAGGATACTTGGTATTGTGTGTGTGTGTGTTTCTGAGGTTATGGATGCATTCGATTAGCACGGTGTGTGTGTGTGTGTTTGTCTCTCTCCTGGTGGAAGTCGTCGGCTGGCATCCGGCTCATGGCGGTGAACGATGAGGGTGTTTGTGGCGGTTGTCTGTGGCCCCCTGTGTGTTCATGCACATTTCTGTCCATTCAACAGGGGGTGACATGCTCCTTTCTGTTGAGTGCCCTTTATTGTATTAAACGCTGTGTTTACGCCCCGTGGGCGACACATGGTCCTGGCATCTACTGTAGATGCTCTCTCTCCCTGTCACTCTCAAAAGGTAACATCTGTTCATGCTAATCTGAAATGGTCTCTTTTAGTTCTTCATTTCTGCTAATTTATAAAGTACATTTTTAAACCACATAATCCTGTAACTGCTATTTGGATTGGACATTTCATTATTTGTTTTCGTCATGATCTCGAGCAGGATAATCGTTTTGAAAGTGACTTAAGATGTGTGAAGGATCTCCAGTGAACATTCCTGACATCTGTTGCTCGGCTGGGGTACTGCATGAAGCAGGATCGACTGATTCACTTCCGTTGTTGGCGGTTTTCTCCTCTTACTCCTCATCTACCATCATCACACTGTTCTTTTCTAACTTGTCCTCCTCCCAGCTCATTGTGAATCCCTTTCTTTCCCCTGCAGGAAAAATCCTCTTCCGGAGGAGTCATGTGCGAGACGTGGCCATGAAGCGGCTGCGTTTCATTGACGACTACTGCAGGGTAAAGAGACCTCGCTGTAAACCTCCTTCAGTTCCCCGCCTGACCCCCCCCGCCCCCCACTCCGTCTGTTGAGGGGTCGAAGGCTGCGTCACATACTTTAAACACGGCACACATGAGACCTCGGCCACAGTAGTGGACGTGGAAAGGTTCCCTCAAAGGGAAGAGCCGTTTGTCTGAGCAATTCTCAGCCATCTCACGTGTGACCGGCTCTGACGCTGGACTTGACGGGTATTTCTCCGGTCTGTTAGTTAATATTCATGGGTGCCACAATCAGAGAAGCGAGCGACCTAGATGTTAAGCAAACATCTCTTCACGTCAGCGCGCTACACGAGACAGACAGAAGCTGTCGAGTCTGCACACTCCGAGATCGGATGCCGCTCACATTGGGATCCGATCAGCCGGACCGCTCGCTGAGGCTGAGTTTGGATCTCGATGAGGTGCGGACAGCTTGGGGACAGATGATCAGATGTAGTTCTCCACCCCCGTGGCACAGAGCCACACTAGCAGCAGGGAGAGGGAGCATGACAGCTCATTCCACTTACTAATGCTGGCCTTCTTTAGGAAAGGTCACCCACTCAGTAATCAGCAACAAAAGTAGGTAAAAAGCAAAGATACCCACATCTCAAATGATCCTTATCCTTTGCTCAGCTCAGGTGTTGAGGCTTCATTACCCAAATAACCCAGAGCGCTGTAATGTTCTCAGATGATGTAGCAAGCGGCTTCTTTAGCCCAGTACTGCAGTTCACCTTCCCGCCTCCTGTTTAGGAGGCAAACGGCGGCGAGAAACATTAATGACCCAGGGTCCTCAGAGGGTCTGCTGTCTGGAGATTGCAGGCAGATTGCAGGTGGTGCACGGTGAGATACGGCCTCTTCAATCACAGCTACGAGGCTCTGTTGCTTTCATATAGATCGGATCCCACTAAAGCAATAGATGAAAGGCCTACGCTGAACAAATGCCCCCACATGTCATTACCTCCTGCCTCCCCCTGGCGTACATTAGCTCCTCCTTCCACATCATGAATATAGATAACTAGTCAGGCGTGAGCCTCTGTGTGATTGGCGTGTGGCTTCATCAATGGACACGCAGAGGAGGCAGGGTGGTTGGACTTTTAACCAAGCGCACCTTCCCAACGCATCACCGGCGCCACACTCCCCGACACGCAGGGGCACCACACACTCACTCCAGCCACGGCCTGTTGGCCCTCCGTCCCTCTGGGAGGCGCTACAGGAACCTCCATTCCAGGACCTGCAGTTTCTAACCCTCAGTGGTCAAAACCCTCAACTCTGCAAGTCGTTGACAGGCACTTCTGCTCAGATGCTAAACCGCCATTAGTTGTCTCAGTACCAGCCAGGTCAGACGCTTGCTGAGGGCGGGGGGGGTGGATGAAGACAACAACGGGGCTAATCAGTCAGCTGGTCTTTAATCCCCGCTGTCTCTCTCCTTAGGCGCTGGTGCGACTCCCCCCTCAGATCTCTCAGAGTGAGGAGGTGCTGCGCTTCTTTGATACAAAGGCTGAGGACGTCAACCCCCCAGTGGAGTAAGTGTCACATAGTGTACACGTAGACACCGCAAACACACGTGCACACGCTGCATGCCGTCGTACCTGTCGCTCCCAAAACATGGCTCAGGAATGGATTTGGAGAAGGAGAAGAATGTTACAGCTTTCATCCTCGGGTGGAGGAGAATGTGCTTCTGGGGTGTAGCAATCAAAGCAAAACAATAACTAACTTAGCTTCTACTTTTCCAAAATAATGTAATGTAGAATTTATGGTGATAATAATGTTGTATATAATGTAATAATGATGTATGAGGTGGTGGGGTGGGACCGTTGGCTTTAGCGGTTACCATGAGCTGATATCAACACACAGCACACTGTGCATTATTATAGTAAAGTAAGTAGAGTCATTTGACCATTTTTCTATCGTTCTGTGTGTATTTTAACTCCAGGCTGAATAAACTGGAATGCCTTTTGGATTCAAGCATATCCATTTTTAATGTCAGTAATGTTTATTTGTGAATTTTTATTTGTTTAGTATTCTACATCAAGTAAGACGGGACATTTTGGTTGTTTTTCAATTCGTTTCCCAGGAAAACCAAAACCTTAAAAGTTTGAGGTTTATTAACATTTTGGATTGACTGAAGCAATGTGCTTGTTCAACGATAACATGAATCCTCAAAAATACAATTGGCCCAATTACTGTCCACAGAATGTATAAACTGGGTCTAGCAGCAATGCAAAGCACATATATAACACAATAACGCATACTGATTTCTTTCTCTTTAATGGTGAAGATTCCAGGAAATGAGAGACACACTATCAGTACAGACTACTAATTCAGCCCGTCTCCAAAATACAGTATGATCGTGCAATGGAGAAGCTCATCAGCTCTCTGTCTATTCCCAAATCAGCTCTCTCCCTCCGAGTTCATTAAAACCTGCAGCCCAGTGAAGGAGGCAGGAGATTGCCCCTTTGGGGGGCTGTAATGAGAGAACACACGCTCCTCTCCAGACCACCACTGCAATTCAAATAGATGAAACTGTCCAGCATGCTCCACATTGTGCTCATAATACCTCTGTATCACAAAAGTACACTTTTGAATGCAGTACTTTCACTGTGCCGTCATCCACAGCCGAGCTGAAGCCCCCCCCCCCCCGTGTACAGAGTGCTGTGTGCTGGTTTATGGCTCCGTGGGTCCCCAGCAACACACCCACCAGGTGTGAAGTAGATCAGCTTCATTCACTGTGTGTATTTATAACTGCTATCTGTCACACTGGGGTGTCTAAAGAGGACCTTCCCAAGAGAAAGTACTATTAAGCTCTTCATGTTGTTGAATGTCTACATGGGCTGTATTTGAGAAGCGCCTCCTCAGTTGGTGGAGACGTGCGCCGGTGTTGTTCTGCACAACCAAAGAACAGAGCGTAGATGTAGAAGTGTCCTCACACGGTGCATTGAGAACACTTGGAATACAATGTTTCCTTAGCTAATAAATCAAGTCATTTTCTCATAGATGTCTCATGTACAGACAATACAACTGGGGGAGTCGCCCCCAGTGGAGTGTAGAAAAGTCTGAAATCGCTCTAAGCAGAGGTCCTAAATGACGTCTTGATGCATCAGTGAGTCAGTGTAGCTTTTGACACAAGCCACCTGTTTTCATGAATGTTTTTCATTTATATATTCAAACAGTCCCAGGATATATCGCCAATCCGTTGTTATGCTTGGCAGAGACGGAACAGTGTATTTATAAAAGCAACTCTACGTATTTAGTGAATCATCAATGACGTGCATTCGCTCAAACTTGAACCTCCACTGAAGTTTCTTCTTGGCTGAAGAGACTGAACACAAGAACAAAACAGTTCTTAAGCCGCTGTTCTCCAGCTAGCTTCTATAAATCCCTGCAGGCCTTCACTCTGTCACACTAAAGGGGGGCCACCTTTAGAGGTCTCCCCTTGGGCCAAGGCCATTTCCTACCCATAATGCATGTGTTAAATGGAAATGAACCACAGGGGAGTGCGTTCATCGCCCATTGATTACCGGTGGGGACTGAAGTGTGTGTGTGTGTGTGAGTAGTGTGTGGGGTTAGTTAATGTCCTGATGACACAAAGGATGCTGACGACTAATATCAACCCATCGTGGTGTGAGTGAGTGTCCTGTGTCAGTGGTCCAGTATTAGAAATAAGAGACTGGCTGTGCAGCCTTACCTTTTGAAATAGTTTATGTATTTCATGTTGCTCCAAGTTTGTACATGTTTTGTTTTATTTTGTAGCACTCTTTGGCGTGCGGCGGCAATAAATAAACTGCCTTACTTCCTCAATTACCTCCTGAGTTTTCCCCCTTACTTATTTCTCTTCTCTGCCCTTTGTTGCACTCCCTCCCGTCTTCCGTCCATCCCACTCTGTCTGCCGAGGTGGAGACAGGGGACAGGCTCACTCAGCCTTAATGGATAAGCTGCTGCACTCCCTGTACTATTAGGATCAATAGCACTCGCTGGAGACTGTGCAGCACGAGCAGTGCGGCTAGTGGTGAAACACAGTGTGTCGGAGTGATAGGAGGGGGTCAGCCTGACGTGTGTGTGTGGGTGCGTGTGCATGTATGTGCTCTCAGGCGTGAGCATGTATCGACCCGTCTGAAACGGAGCAGTTGTACACAATTATATGTTTGAAAAATCGTTGTTTTTGCAGCCAAACAGAGAGGGCAGCAGGAGCCAGCGGCTGTCTGTGCCCAGCAGCTTCAGGTCGTTTCAGAGCCCCCCCCCCGTCTGTGCTCCACGGCCATCATCCTACACAGATTCACTCACCCACCCGATGGTGTCTGACTCACCGCTGCACTCAGCCTCACTCACTCGCACAGGGTGTTGTCAGGGCCGCGCTCGCTACTGTAGTAGCTTTAACTCTGCATGGGTGTGATGAATGGAGCGAGGCAAGGACAGCGACCAGGGGGAGGAGAAGTGTCCTCCTCGTCACTTGAGGATGGAGGGAGTTGTGCCAATGTTTCCAATCGAGCCGGACATTTCTTTTTTGACATTTTTGGATGCTTTCCTACACATGAGAAGTGCCCAACGGAAGTCCTCCTGACCTGGGGGTTTAGGCCCCCTCATGGAGTCAGGAGAGGCGTCAAGGGGGCCACAACACTAGTTTTATGTCTATATGTTGTGCTCTGCTCAGCAGAAAGGAAGGCGGAGCTTCATTAGCTCTGATTCTATTCCCGTTGACTCTCCACTTGGTGGCGTGCTTCACAACAGGACGGCGTCCTCTGCGTCTCCACTGCTCCGCATCCCGCACATCCACCGCTCGCAAGCCTCCCTAGGGCGTCTCTATATGTCCATTTTGACCCCCCCTCTTCCTGCCTCGGATCTTTTTCTACTGGAGGGACTCTCTCTTGACGCTACTCTCCCGTTCCCCTTTTTGTATTTTCCTACACCGTTCCCATTTTCTATTTCTAGCGAGTCACTTAGCACCGATGTGTGCTGTGATTCGTTTCATCTGTCTGGGCCTTCAGTGTTTCCAACTCATAGACTAATTGGTGGCGGTGCGCCACAGATTCAACACCGGCCGCCACACATTGCGTTTTTCTTTTCTTTTAACGCTATTTAAATCACGCAGCGTATTCGTTCAGCTGCATTTCCTTTCCCTGCTCTCCCTTCGTCTCTGGCCTTGCCACAGTATAGCAATCATACAACTATCAGCCTGAACGGCATGATCTGTCCTCTGCAGAGCATAAGAGGGACAAATGCCTCTATTAATATGCACACACTGTATTACATCCACAAGGACAATATTGGCCTCCCATAGGCTACCGTAGTATGAGGCACGGCTGACGTTATCATCATTCATCATGCCCCTCACCACCCTGCCCGTGAATAACAATAGGCATCGACCTTGGCTCGTGTCTCGAGGAGAGAGATGCTGCAAGATTATCAGATTATGACTGGGTTCAGCCATCAACTCCTGTGATTGGTCTAACTCTGGGCCTAAGTAGTGTTGTCCCCGGTGACAGGGTGAAGACACATCTGTGTGTTTTAGGGGTAATTAGGAATAAGTTGAAGCTATTATTGAATCAAAACTAGGGATTTTCCTTTAGGTGTTCGTCACAGTTAACAACCTCATGTTGTTGAGCCTTAAGGACCAACATAATGCCAGTGCAGAGGAGGCTCCTGTGTGCCGCAGCTACCAATAAGCTGTTGTAAGTCCAAATTGTACCAACATCCGTAGGCCCTCAGGGAGACGCCTGTGCAAGTGTGAAGGAGATTGGATGAAAAGTCCAGAAGCTATGACAAGGACGCACACACAAACGCACACCCACACAGATTCATGGCTTTATGGTCGTATATACACACACAGACTCAATCGTGTACAGTCGACATCCCTCGTAGTCGGATGACCACCGAGCTCTGCAAAAAAATGCAGCAAAATCCGTCCAGCCATCAGATTTCTGTGTGGTCATCATATTCAGCTGACAGCTCCTCCAATAGCACCTTGAAAATCCTTTGTCTTTAGAGCGGATGCCGTATATAATCTCATCATCACATGATCGAAGCCGGTTACTTTTGCACATAGCGCCTGGTCTTTGAACGCGTTGTTAGCCATTATAATCATTGCTTCTTTCATGACCTCATCGTCCGAAAAGGCTTTCTTGTTCTTCATTAAAAGATTTGCAGCTTTAAAGGACGTTTCAGTTGCTTCATGTGAGTTTATCACCCGCCTGGTGAAAAAAGACAAAGCGCTCTTGGCCCGAGGCTGCTTTCAGCTCACAGGCCTTTTCTGTCAGCTAGCATGGTTATTAGCATGGTAGCTTTATTGACATATACTGAAGTGTTTCTCGCCGTGCCCCGCAAATGATACCCATGTGGAAATAGTAGGTTTTGCTTTTCCACCATGGTTTTGTGGATTGATGTACGTACAGTATTGAACTTTCACTCAGATCAGAGTTCATACATATATATAAAACATTTTAACGTTACTTTTTAACATATTAAATATTGTAATTTAAAAGTCTACAAACATGAATGCAAGTGATTTTGAGTAAAAAAGAACCACAACTAAACATTTTAGACCGCGTTGGCTTCCCCTGCTTTACACCTACGCTCTCACAATAATGCTAACTGGAGAGCGTCCGCACCCTGTGTTCTGTTTTGAATCCTTTTCCTCCTCCCTCCCTCCCTCTATGTCCCCCCCTCCTCTGCCCTGTGCCCTAATGCTTTGCAGATGTCTCTAAAACCATACTTCTAAAAAACAAAGCCCAAAATAGCCAGCCGCACCCCCAATGTAAAGTGGACGTAGCCGTGCTAACAAGCTAAAGATCCCTCTTTGTACTGTGTGTGGCTAATCTCGGTGCTACTGCATCTGCAGTTTGCCGCCGGCTGCTCGCTCGGCTAACGTGTCGGCGTGTAATCTAATGGCTGCCTCCCCAGGCTGAGTCCGTGGCCTTACGCTTGATGCAGAATGTTGTTTTCAGGCCTTTGGGGAATACTTAACGGCAAAAGACAACCACACACAAGCCAGCCTTTGCTTGGAGCTGCTCGTCACAACAACAGTAGAAGACATGCTATTGATCTAATCAGTAGTCATTTCTCCTGGGCATCATCGGATCATCTGGTCAGATCAAGAACAATTAGACAATTAAAATAAACTCTATAAAGAGTGAAAAATGAATAGCCTAAATGTTTCTCATCGATTGATCAGTGAACTATTGTTGGTGGATGCCATGAATGACTGTAGGTGGTTTTTAGGCGCAAGCCTCTGGCTGAGGAATCCACTGTGACGCAATCAAATGTATAAAAAGAAGAATTTATTTTACGACACTAATGTTAGCTTCCCATAAATGTTGGCCGGTGTGTTTGAATGAGGCGGAGAGCGCTACACCGCGGCTAAGAGAAGGCTACTGAGCGCGCGGCAGCGTGAACACAGCGGCTAACATTCCCCGGAAAAGCACCAGCATCTTTTAATAACACAGAGACGGGAAAACATTCCGGTGTGGGGCTCGCTCTGTCCACAGCATACTTTCCACTGAGACACATCCACACACACGGCTCAGCGAACTCTGACGTGTACGACTTGAATATTCTATCAGAGGCCTCGTGCCGGCCATGTGTGAGACGGGACGAGGAGAGGGGTCAAGTCCCGCTCTATCCACGTCCCGCTTTGGTGACAATGAAGCGCATTCTCGGTGCAGTGATGGCGGCGGAGACGTCGGTACAAAGGCGCCGTTCTTTGGTCTGCCGCTCACAAAGAGGCGGACACATCACAGGCGGTGGGGGGGAGTGCAGAGAGGGGGGGCTTAGCGACTCACAACAACACACAGGGCTCTTTGGGATCATCTTCATTAGCTTGATTAGAGCGTGAGCTCCCAGAGCAGCTTCTCATCTCCCTCGTGCAGTGACTGCGGCTCTCTGTCACACCTTTACCAGATGAGAGTGACCTCCTTATTTCACGGGGGGCCCCGGGTTCCCTGCAGATGGTTTCAAATTATACACATCCACAGCAAGATGTGGACCTGTTCACCCTCCTGAGGGATGAATCCATGGGTAGTCCTCCTGAAACCAGAGTGGTCTGCTGGTCTGACTCAGTCCACGAGGGGGGGGTAGAGGGAGGAGCCTCACTGCAGCCCTGCTCTGCTGTTACAGCTTCAATACTGCAGCAGGATGACGTGCTGCGGGTCGATGAAGCTTTTGATCAGGACCTGGGAAGGACAGCGAGCAGCACAAGGAAGAGAGCCCGGGGTTTGGCCTGGGGGGTTCGGAGTTCGTGTGGGGTAGGTGAACAGACTGGCACCTTTCTGTTTCCATAAATAGAATCTCTCCTCCGCTATCTTGTTCAAACTCAATTTCCACCCTCCCAAGAGCCCCTCCCCCCCCCCCCCCACGTTCATCGCGTAGCTGAGCCTTGTGGCTTAATCCCATTAGAATCTATTAAGCAAGCCATCTTAAATTTAGACCCCTGATTCTTCCAAATGTGGGGAGGGGTCATCTTCTTGTCCGTCAGGGCAGAGGGAGGGAGAGGATGGTGGTGCCGCTCTGGAGTCACATGACTAATTTGTGCCTGTTTGCTGGAAGTACAGGCAGCTGGCCAAAGCCTCCCTCCGTCTCCTTCTCCATCCTTCCCTCCCTCCCTCCCTCTCCTTCTCCATCCTTCCCCCTCCCTCTCTCTCTCAGCATTTGTTAGTGAGCTAAAGCCAATTGCATGCGTGCCGTTGCTTCAGGAGAGCTTTGTTGCTGACTGCTGTCACTAACTATGTCTCTCCTGTGTTGCTTCTCCCTCAGAGACTATGGCTCCAAGCGGAAGTCGGGTAAGTCACCTGTTGTTATTGCTTCTCTGTGTCTCTCTCCCTCAACATGTTGCTGTGAAAAGAAGCTAGAGATGTGGGGGGGGGACTGATGACGTATGCCTCTTATCCATGTGATGTCAATGTGCGGTGTGTTTACTTGTCCCTGCGTATTGTGTGTTTTGGGTTGGATTAAAAAAGCTGTGCTGCCTCCTCTCCCTCTGCCTGCGGGTCTGATGTGACAGACCTGGGGGGGCGAGGCAATAGTGTGTGATTGTGAAGAGAATGCATTATCCTCTGAAGAGGTTCTGGATGAGAAATACACAAAAACACACGTAGGGCTTAGTGATTTATCAATAATCTATGATCATGGTGATATGATCAGACAGATTTGAGATATTGTCGTTTCTTAGAGAACGAGTGAGAGAATGGCATGATGTGAGTGCATCATGTCATCATGCGCGGAGCTCTGATAGCTACTGACGGTATTTAGCTAGAGCAGATTGCCCATCAGAACCCTCCCCACATCGTTCTAGAGTGGAGGTCCCATCAGAACCACTCCACACATCGTTCTGGAGCAGAGAGCCCACCAGAACCCTCCCCACAGCTTTCTAGAGCAGAGGGCCCAACAGAACCACTCCCCACATCGCTCTAGAGCAGAGGGCCCATGAGAACCCTTCCCCACGTCGTGCTAGAGAAGAGGGCCCATCATAACCCTCCCCACGTCGTTCTAAAGTGGAGGGCCCATCAGAACCACTCCCCACAGGGTCCTTGAGTGGAGGGCCCATCAGAACCCTCCCCACATTGTTCTAGAGTGGAGGGCCAATCAGAACCCTCCCCACGTCATGCTAGGGAAGAGGGCCTATCATAACCCTCCCCACATCGTTCTAGAGTGGAGGGCCCATCAGAACCCTCCCCACAGCGTTCTAGAGCAGAGGGCCCAACAGAACCACTCCCCATATCACTCTGTGTGTCCAAGAACGTATCTTGTAACAGTGTTGGTTCCACCCTCTTCCTGATAGAAGGATCGATACCAGTTTGCTTCTTCCTGTGGTTTGACATTGTCACTCTGCTGCTGTGCTTTTTCACGAGTGTCCCATCAATACTGTTTAGTGATTGGTTGCCTTTGTCGTGATGTTAACAGTTTATCATTGAAGCTGTGACTGTGTGGAGGACATGCAGTTAAAGCCAGCATGAGGTTGGACCTTCAGTCTTACTTGGTGATCTGCTGATACGGTTCGGAATGTACTTTTGTCGGAGTTTGTACATAAGACGCACATAATGCTGATTGCAGCTGTGTCCTCCACCCAAATGAAACTTAGTGACTTTGATAAAACCATCATCAGACAGGTCCAGAAGATAATTCCAGACCCCACCCATGTCCTCCACCCTCAGGCAGAGGCTTCAGAGTCCCCCAGTGCAGGCTCCACTTCAAAGACGCCTTTGTCCCCTTGTCCATTAAAGCCCTAAATGGCTAGCTAGCTGGAGCCTAACCCCTGCAATGCTTTTTAATCTTACCTACAGGTGTGCTCTACCACTGGCAGTGTGAAATGTTCTGTTGGCTGGCCACAGTCCGTTGATGTACTGTATGTATGCTCTATGTTCTATGTGTTTCTTAACAGCAGAGAGCAGTGACAGAGGTGTCTGCTTCTACTTCACCTTGCCCTCCATCTCTCACTTTTCATCCTCTGTATTTCACACTCTTAAAAGATCCCAGCAAAAGATGCTCTGGTTTCTCATCTGGTGTCATTGTCAGATGAAAATTCTAAATTTTTCCAATTTCTTCGTCTGAAGCTAAATCTTCAGTTTCTTGCCAAAGCATTAGCAAGTGATGGCATAAATGGTGCATGCTTGTGGTCCCACCGGTTTCTCAAGGCCGATGCTGGCGGCATCATTAGTAGCACTCATAAATACGTCTGCATGCTAACACAGGAATGGCTGCAGATGCACTTAGCTTGACCCCAAATAACTCTCTGCTGTGTGTATACGTCATTCCCAGCAATGCAAGACATGGTACACCAATCGCAGTGAATTCCCAGTCAATTGCAGGGCCGACAATTATAGACAAAAAACCTTTCACTCTCACATTCACTCACCTACGGGCAATTTACAGTCCCCACTTAGCCTAACCTCCAGAGCATGTCTTTGGACTGGGGGGGTCAGCACGGAGGCGCCAGAGTCAGAGAGTTAATATCAATCAATGAGCGTGGAGTGAGAGTCGCCCAGTGCGTAGTAATCACAGTGAGCGGGCTTTGACCCTGGCTGACCTGGGACCAGCTATGTCCCTCCCTCTGGGGCCAACTTCCATCCAGCTAAAGCCATCCGTCAGAAACATTTATCTATTTGTCGTAACAGTCTCTGTTGGACTCCACCTACAGTGTGTTGTTACAATCCACCGCTCACTGACATGAAGCCCATTTCATCCCACAGACGGAGCAGCAAGTGACGTCACACAGCTTGTAAACTCATCCATCCATCTGACTAGAGAACCAGATCCAAGCCCCCCATGCCACCTTTCACCACATTGACTGGTTCTTCATTGTTCCTGGCATAGATGTTACACATGTTCATGTGGTTTGAATAGAGTGAGATGAAGGCTTGTCTGGGATCAGGTGGGTCAGGATGGATCTAGCAGAAGATAAACAAAAAGTAGAGGAGTTTTATTGTGGACTTGTTGCAGTTGTCACACACCAGCAGTCTCGTAACCAACACACTTACACTTATTTCAACTTTTTCTAAACCTGACCAAGTAGTTTTGAGTAAGTAAACCTCAGAACAAAGTGAAAGGGACTGTGAGAACCGTAGAGTTGGTACAGAACATTCCAAGAAGCAGCTTTATTCATTTGAAGGACTTAAAGCAAAAGGCTGAATAGTTCACGCTGAGGTATACGTGTGTCTCAATGTTTAAGGACAAGATGACAAGAGGCCCCAACACATACCACGGTAGCCCCGTCTGCTGCAGCCGGAGACCTGGGGACCGCTCCCTCTGTCCCTGTCTACTCTGATGCATGGCATTTCATTTCCTGGCTAGGGGGGGGATGTTTTTTCGGGGTTTGGGGGGTTGAGGAACAAACATAATTGGCTGACGTGACGCCCATCTCAGACATTCCAGGAGATCCAGATAGAAGGAAGGAAGGACTGGAGAACGTTATGGAGAGAGGGGGTCACGGAAAGGGGGGAGCAAGCGTCTTCCGGTCTGAAGGAGTCTGGGTTGTCTGTAATACAACTTCCCTCAAGACATCCTTCACTGTCCTCAGCATGAAGAAAGCCACGCAGCTACACACAGGCCATGGCTTTGTGCATCATCCATGTGTTGTGATGTAATAGGAGGCGTGCTTTGCCATACTGTTGCTTCTGCATGCTGTCCAACTGAATAACCTCTCTGCTTCTCTCCTTCCTTCTCTTGTCTGCAGTATGGATGTACGGCTTTACAGACAGCCCGAGGAAAGAGGCCTCAGGTAGCCTTGTCTGTCTAACATGTTGACTATGCATGAGCCGCTGTGAGAGCCACATGGCAGCTGCATCGCTTCCAGTCAGCATCTGCTTTGCATGCACTGCCATCATCCTCCCCTTCATCCCATCCTCTCTCGCTCGCTCTCTCTCTCTCTCTCTCCCTCTGGACTCCACCCATCCGTCTCCACAGGCCTGCTCGGCCGTCAGCAGCTGGGCACACAGCACGGACCTTAGGTCTGCATGTAGCTGCGAGCCCCAGACTGAAATGAGGTGTCAAGTCTGGTTCTTTGTCTGCTCAATAAACATTCCAGGAAGTGATATTTTCAAACAAATTCAATCACAGATTTGCCCCACATGCTGAGCATTTAACCAATGTTTAACTGTAATGGAGGCATGGATTGAGAAGGACATTCCAGCTCTGTGTCAGTAGGAGAGGAACAACTAGGACGTAACTCTGCCATATTTAAGTATATGGAACCAAAGCGGGATACAATTGTGAAGATGTATTGCTCAACTATGCGTGGTAGCCCTTACAACAGTACAACACATCTAAATAGCTTTATTAGCTCAGACCGGCTATGATTGCTGTTGACGCTTTGCCCAACATGCTTATCATTGTTCCTTTGGGGAGGATGCTGAAGGCAGACATACTGCGTCAACCAGGGGGGCAGGAAGGTTATGAGCATTCCCTGGTGCATCAATGTGTCATGTTTTAAACATGTTTTTTAAACATGTTTTATTCTTCCAGGTTGCTGAGATGCAACCTTGCACTGCGATTTGAGATGAGAGGCACTCGGTATATGAGCTACACTTCACTGGTTCTTCTTCTCTGGGATCTTAAGGACCGTGGCATCTAACATGCACAGCTCCACAATGTATCTGCGCATGTTTGATGACGTAAACTGTCTTTTTAATACCATTACGTGCAGCATCTTCCTCATCTTCCTGCTCTGCCAAGATGGATCTGATTATGTCAGCTAGCCAGGTGCTAACGAGCTAACTGAGCCAGATGGTCTGCTGCGCCGTCTCTGCTCCCACCGGTTCATCAGATCCGATCATAGATGCCCTAGTGTCCTTTAAGGAGACATCTTCTAAGGCTTCATATCCAAGTATTCCAGTTGTGTCATTGTAGAGGGCACATTCCAAAACACATTCCGTCACACAGTAGAATAACTGCTCTAGTGCCTAATGCAGCTGATCTCAGTTGCACCTGCTGCGATCATGACCTGAATATAAACGAGTAAATAAAGGGAGCGTCAATCCAAAATACATACCGCTCAATACATACCACATGTTTCCAGCTCCTACACAACATGGACGAATCAAAAACCAAACATCCGGTATTTCAGAAACTCCAATTAAACAATATACACGCTTCGGGCTCTTACAGTCATAAATGCACTTGAAACAGGTTCATTTGACTAAATGAATTTATTGATACTGAACATTTCTGAAAGTCGAAAAATCAGCACTCCATACGATATTTTAATTAGATGAGATGAGATGGTTGGACCCTTGATAAGCGGATGAAGATGAGACGAGATAATTCTAATCTCCTCTAAGAATCCTGCAGTGGGGAAATTCAAGGGATTACAGCAGCAGAGTTAACGACACATAGTAAAAAAGAAACAAGATCCAAAGTAGTTATTGTAAATTAGCAGCACCTTCTGTAGGGGAACGTCGATGTATGAAGGCTTTCTGCTGCATAAGCTTCTTATTTTAGAGCCATATAAACTGCATCATGCAAACATGCATTTAAAAGGTTAACACTGCATATTGCAGAATAGGTGCAAATAGTTTTATTCCAAAAGCAGAAAAAGTGCCTAGTTTAAAGATGTCCTATGTGGTGCTGATGCGGCCAAGTTTGTGCAAACGTCCTTGTTTGACATCCTGACTCAGAGCTTTAGCTCGTGCAGCTCAATAGTTGGTGCTTCTCTCTGAAGATGAGAAGAGTGGCTGGAGGCTGAAGATTGTAGCAGACGAACAGCTGGTCTGTTCAAACAGATGCCGACCAACACACAGGCCCTTAATGAACGTTGTATCCGTCTACCAAGAACGTCTGTCTTCTGTCCAGTTAAAAAACGTTTTATTGTAAATAAAAATACATTCACAAGACGAGAAGATAGTTGCAGTAACTATTTGTTTTCTTTAATCCTTAAAGAAATATTATTTTCATTATAAATATTATTTTCAGAAATCCTAAGCCATCATCTAATTACTTTGAGTTTGTTCTTCATTAATCCATGTTTAGTTATTTAGGCATTACTAGAGGTTCAGTTCTACAGAGATCAAGTTTGTTCAGTCTGTGAAAAACGTTTTCACACGTAAATTTAGTTTTTTCCTGATGGGGGGGGTCGGACAATTGGTCACTCAGCAGCCTCACTGTGGCTATTGATAAGCTGCTGAGCTCTATGGGTCACGAGTAGCATCAGTGAATCATTGCGGCTCAGCTTTTTGAATTGTCCAATAGCAGAGCTCCGCCTTCTGAGGAGGTTGATTCATCGGGTGTAGTTCTGCACCACCTCAGTGATCCCACTGGAGGACGGATGTTTGTTCTAATTGTATAAGTGTTCTCTTCCTAATCACCGATATGCAAAACGCGCGTGTCCCAAACAAGCCGCAAGAACCCGATGAGAAGTGAAGTGCGGCGGTGAAAAGGTTAAACATCAGAGGAGGGCCGAGTGGCTCACCACAACTCTGCTCCTTGTGTTTCACATGAACGTGGACCCAGCCGGCTCCTCTCTCTCCCTCTCTCTCTCTCTAGTCCACTCATATGTTTCTATTTAAGGCCAGCAGTGCTGACTACCCCCATTGGTGTCCGCCCCCCCCTTTCCAACGGCTGGCTCCCAGAGGCGGTGGAGGGGAGGCCTTTCCTCTCAACCGCACTGCTGCTCTTTCCAGAGAACTTCTGCCACTCGTTCGCTCCTCACTCTTCCCCTCAAGCATTAGCAGCTCCTCGCTTTCTTCCCTTCTCCTTGGATCCTACCCGGTTCTGTCATGGATCACTCTGGGTGTGAGATGCAGCCCCAGCAGACGTCTCCTCCCCGTTACCTCCTTTTGTTTTGACTCCTCTCCGATGCTCTTCGGTCCGTCGCTGTGGGCCGAGGGTCGGATCGGTTATGTGGCCAGACGTTCGGGACTGTGCGGCCAAGTCGTGAGCTGGCTTTCTGATTGGTCAGGGAGGTGCGGCGGCAGGGAGGGTTGGGCTGGCCTATGGCGGCCTGCCGGGCGGACAGCGGAGCAGTCGGTCGCAGGGTCCGGAGGTTGCGGGGGGCCGCGGCGGGCAGGTGGCTGACGGCCTGTTTCTTCCCCTCAGGGATGGACAGCTCGGAGCCGATGGTGCTGGAGCAGTACGTGGCCGTGGCCAACTACGAGAGGCAGGAGAACTCTGAGATCAGCCTCAAGGCCGGCGAGACGGTGGACGTGATCGAGAAGAGCGAAAGCGGTGAGTGGATGCTTGCTTTTGTTTTTGCTCATGTCACTTTGGTCCACAACAGGAACGTGGGGATGCGGCTCGGCTCTTCTTGTTTGTCTGATCCATCAGCAGCAGCTTAAACACCACACAGAGCCCAGCTCCTCTACTCCACCTTATCTCAGTCCCTCTCCTCCCCATGCCCTGATGCCCGAGCTTGGCTCAGCTCCACCTGGAGGTGCTGTTTGGCTGTGGAGGAAAGGCTGCAGCTTTCTAAGAATCGGGTGACTTCCAGGATGTTGACAGAGAACTATAGTAAAAGTATTTGGCTAGAAACACTGATGGAGTAGCATTACACCCCCAAAGAGCTGCTGCACTTCACCTTCTGCCTCGCCTCAGCCCAGTGAACATCTGGTTTTGTGAGCAGGCAGCCATCGACAGCAGCACATCTGCCCCCGTATACTACGCGATGTCTTGGCTTGTCATCTTTGAGGGATCATGCGCCTTAAACAGTCTGTTTTGAAGCAGCTTGTCATTTGGTCGGCCACATTTGGTTTAACCCCCCCCCCCCGTCTGCAGATATGACATCATGGTTTGGTTTTGACTGCTTAAAGAAGTTGCATTGGAAGAGGATACCCTTTGTGATGAGGCTGTTGCTCCTGCGTGGTGTGTGTGACGGTGTGTTCTCGGGAGCGACCTGGAGGCCGTGGATGTCTTCATTAGGACCTCTCCTCCTGGCTATCTACAGGGCTCAAGAAGTGGAGCGACAGCCATGTTGATGATGACATCACTGTGAGGCCTTTCCAAGACAAAGACATTTGCGAGCTGGTATAATATCCCACAACCCCCCCTGCATCCCGTTAGTTTCCTTTGACACTGACTGGCTGGTAATGTCAGCTTCTCTTTCAGAGTCTAGTCACTCGTGTCAGACACCTCTTATTTCCCCACAAGAAAGGCTTAGAACCCTTTCTCCCAATGTAGATATGTTTCTGTGCACGTTGAGCACAGATGGTTCCTCATTCCAAAACACAGAATATTTAAGCCAGTTTTTAAGTGTCTGCAGGCTTGACTTGATGTGATTATGTGTTTGACTCCAGAGTCGGATGTTGTTGTTTTTTTTCCTTCTGAGAAGTTCTTGACCTTGGACTTCTGGGCCGAGTTGTTTAGTCAGTGTGAGGAGCCGTCTTCATGGTTCGCCCATGTTATGTCATGAGCTGTGTGTCCCAGTGTGTGTGAATCCTGTGTCAATGTATGCTTGCACAGGTACCTTACTATTTAGGAACTGCTGTCTACTGAAGTGAGATTCCTGAAGCCCTGAGGCATTGGGAGTTGGAAAGGCTGGAAGCTCGCTCAGGTCCTCCTCGGCTTTAGATATCAGTCATAAACTAGTCATTTGCTGCATAAGTGAAAACTTTGACCACCAGGTGGCCACATTTCAAGGTAAACCATCCTTGAGACATTTTAATTCCATTCAACCCAGTCAAACAGGAAATGCGGGTAAAAATACCCTCGTTTTCTTCTTCTACTGAGGCTAATGGAGATGCCAGAAGGAAATTAACACTAAAGACTGCAAATAGGGTCTGTTGGGTGACTGTGTGCCTAAGCCACACCACCAGCCGGAGAAGCAATTTCCCTAAATATCTCGGCCCTTCTTGGTGCCAAGTTCACGGGCATTTTGTCACAGCTGATTTGAAGCGATTAGACGGATTGGCTCTTTTTGGACGCGACTCTGCACCTCGCATAGAGGACGACCTCCTGTTGCCAGATAACAGTAATCCTCTATTTTGGAAAACAAACCCATTTTTTGTGGACATCTGTCAGAAATGGCAACGGGGCACATGGAGACATAAAGACGTCTCGAGTTATATGCTACTGCTTCTCAGCAGGTAGGATGGTGTTGGTGCCCAGCAGATGCTGGCAGTCAGGACCAGGATGCCTTTCCAACGGTTTGTCCTTAAATGCTTTGCTTGGTCTGGCGCAAGCTGGCAAAGCTTTGAGCTACAATTTAGTATCATAACCTCATTTGGACCACAAGCCTGGCCTCCAGGCTATGAAACTATACGTGCTGCAGTGGCTGGAAAACATTAAGAAATCTCCCTGAATGAAAGTGTTGACTTGTTCAGTTATAGATCATTGGCCAGCTAATCATCATTAGCTAAAAACCCAAACCAGAGGCCAACAAATTCAATTTACTATTGTACATCACCATTAAAGCACCTACGCTTATAGTCCTATTGAGAATTCAACAGATACATGATTATGTTTTCTAAAGATATGAATGATATATCTTTGAATTATGGATTCTCGAGCTCCACAGGACCGTTAAAATGATGTAAAGGGGTCTCATCAGCAATGTTTGACCTCAGGCTGTCAAACATCTTACTCAACAACTTTAATCTTTAAGCTGTAGTGAGTGTTCTGGATTGGAGATGATTAGCAATTAGCTTTTAGCATCGCATAACAGCCGATGTACACACACAGGTGCGCGCATACGCATATACGTATACACAATATGAAGGATGAGTGGTTGACTCCCGCTTGCGGACACGTGTAGTCCTTGTGGTCTGTTCCCTCTCACTTGCAACAGGTCTGGCTCAGTAACAAAACCCCCGTGTTCTATGAACACTTCAAGCAGGGAACATAAGCTTCCAACTAGGAGGCAATGCTTCCATCTCACAGTGTCAATGTGACTTTCTAGGAAAGCAGCAGCATGCAAGGGGTTTGGTGCCGCCTCACAAGTCCTATTTTTAACTGAAGACCAAGTGTCTTAAAGCGGCATTCCACCTTGAAATGAATATGACCCCCCCCCCCAACAAATTTGCAGTTTTGCAGTTGGAGGCAGAGTAGAATCCTCTCAGCAGAAAATGGTTTTAGTTTAGTGTTGTCTGAGTGGACCCTTTGTGAGTTTAAACATCCACAGAGAGTGGGAGTGGACTGTATAGTACTTCTGCTAAGGAGGGACTGGACCTGTGTACACAATATAGATGTTCCCCTATATGGGGATACGATGGATTGGGCGTATGAAGCAGGTTACTTGTACCTTTATGTATTAACACAAGACTACTACTAATTTATTGTGTTAGCATTTACAACACCATTACAATTACTTGATTAGACTTCCATGCAAAAATTAGCTCTGCTTATAGCAGTTGCAACAATATAGTGATAAACCCATTAATGCATCGTTAATTATAATGATTTTTAGTTTGTTGGAAAATTATTTAAAAAAAATGTAAGTTATATAGTTCTAAGTTATATATATCATACTTCAGGACGTCTCTGACTACGCATCTGCTGAACGCCGACCACGTTTACTGTTTGAAACCATTTTCCAAAGTAAAAGTCCTGTGAGTGAGTGAGTGAGTGAGTGCAGCGGTCCCCAGGGTGCAGTGTTAAACAGTTCTCTGTGTCTCCCCTTCTGCTCACTTGTCACAGAGATAAGACAGCAGCTCAACACGCCGTCCATGCGTGTGAATCAGTGTCTGTTACTGCTGTACTCCCCGTGACCTCCCCCGTACCTCCCTCAGGGAGAAAGCAGCCGAGGATTGGCAAGACATGCTGTTGCAATTAGAGCCCAACGCTGTAAGAAAATCCAATTGGAGCTTCTCTACAGCCTTACATATTCATGTATGCACGTCGAGGGTACCTGCATTTCTGTGACTGTCACAAGCAGTTTAGACGGTATTCCCTGCGTGTGCCAGCAGAGTGGCCAGTTAAGGTCTTAACCTTGAATATTTTGAGTGTGCTGTATCTCAGAATATAGCCGTAAATGTAAGCCGGTAAAAAACTGTCTGTGTGTGTGTGTCTGAGTAAGTAAATACGTAGTCATGTTTTTAACATGTCGGACCGTCAAAATAATTGCAGGTCTCAAAACCAACTGCTCGTGCAGCAGCTTGGAAAATCATGATTCAAGTCCTGGAGAAATGACGCATCGTATACATCCATGTGGAGAAACAAAATAATATTTTAAAGAAATAGATTCAAGCCAAAAGGTGAGATCACGTTGTCTATTGAGCCGACGGGAAAGACACATTCATACAAAATTCAAAATGGCTGACTTCCTGTTGGGTTTAGAACAGAGGTCTTCAGGGGTCCGCGAAGGTACTGCAGGGGGGGTCGCGAAATTTTTGGTTGATAAGACAATTTTTTCCCCCACAAATGTAAATGTCTTCAGAATCAGAATCAGAATTGTATTTATGGTCTTTAAATACACATTAACATGAATCCAACATATTGAAGCAAACAGATAAATTGATGGAGAAGACGTTATCTGTCAGTCCGCAACACACACACTCTGCTTCCCTCAGCAGCTCTCAAGCTGGGCACCGCTTCACTCACTGCTCCTTTCATGCGAATACGACAGCGCAGGCACCAGCCAATCAGATCGCCTTTATGCTCACGTCTAAAGAGCGTGAAGCTCAAAAATAAAAGATGGCCGACCAAACTCCGTAAAATAGGGGGTCCCTGGTGCACCTCGCCATCAGTTTGGGGGAGCTTGGCTTGAAAAACGTTGAAGAACTCTGGTTTAGAACATAAACCCAAATTCTTAGTATGATGCATGTGCCTACCTGTTGGTACATCTACGTCAAACGTACCGTGATAGCTGCTCCGTTGACATTTTGTAGGGGGCGCTATTGAGCAAAATTGCAGCTGTGACATTAGATATTTTGAGCAGATTGAACAATGTCTCGCATTTCTTAGACCTTTGAAAGCACTTTTATTGCTGTTGGAAAAAGATGCATTGCAATGGCGACGCTGTCCGATGAATCATCGAAGGCTCGGTGGCCTGGTATCATGAGCTTCTTACATTGTTTGGAACTAATACGCAGTAGCGAGATCCAAGAGTGGCAGGTGGTATGTGCCAATGTCAGAAGGGGGATGTACCTCACAGTGGTATGGACCCGCCTCCGAATTCATATGTAAATCTCATGACGACCCGTGATCCCGTGGTTTGTTTTTAATAACTTTACTGACATATTAGTACAACTTAGCTTCTTGAAAGTAGTCCGAAATTAGGAATGTATCCAATTCATCTCGTCTATTTCCATCTTTGGCTCATTGCGAAAAAAAGGGATTCTGTATTTGCTCATATATTCTTTTGCCAGAGTGCTGCAGTGGTGTTGAACAGAATGAGGAGGGTGTTCTCTCATATCGGTCTGAATCCTTTGATCACTTAGAGCATGACAACGAACCAATGGGTTACTGTCTATATGACCGATTCAGCACACGTGCCCCTATAGTACGTCCCCCAGCACGCCGTCTCTGCTGCAGAGCTTACGCTGAGCCAAGTTATGCTTTGGTTTGATTGCCCGACAGGTTTTCTGTAAAACTCACTCATAAGAGCCGTTTGGCAGCGTGGCGACCAAGGACACGAAGATCTGTGATCCTCATCTTTCTCTTTCACTACCTTAGACTTAGATCTGCTTCTCCATTTAGTTTTTTTGAAACCGTTCCAGCCTCTGTGTGAGTGCATTTGAATATCTGAGTCAGAGTCCAGCACTCTTTCTGCTCCTCATTTATCGGCTTTTACTGAGCCGGATTTATGGGGGGGGGGGGGGGGGGGCGCTGGGCCCGAGGACCGTACCATGCAGCGCCCATGTGTGCACACGCTGGAGTCTGAAGCTTGCCCTGTGAGAAGGAGAGACTGTGAAAGTCCGCCAGCTCAACATGTCGGACCTCAGACAACCTGCGATTATACAGCGGGGCGGCATCGAGACCATTTTCAGAGTTCAGCTTTTAAAATGGACTTTCTTATTATTATCTAGCCGCCTGGAGTACAGCAGCCATTTGGACCTCTGCAACCTTCATCGCTCTGGCATCAATCAAACATGTTCACCTCTCTGGCTTGATGGACGCCGTTGCTGGAGGCATGATCACGTCGCCTCCAAATAATCCCAACATACACTCGCATCTCCTCAGCAGGGCTGTGAGGAAGCTACGCTGCAGACACTCTGCATCACCCGTGTGTGTGACGGGGCTTCAGTATGAATCTGTGTGTGCTGGTTAAGACGGTTGAGGTCACGTGCAGCGGGCCGAGCAGGCTCCTCCACTCGGGCCCATCCAGTCAACTGCAGGGGTTTATGTGTTTATGAAACAACGTTGGTTCGCGTTTTGACCGTCGATCTATCCGACTCGTGGCGAGTCATCACTGGGCCTCACTAACTGCGTTTAGGGGAGCATCAAGGCGGCGTAGTCCCCATCGATTGGTGTCCTCACCAGTCAGTGCTGACCTGTTCCTCTCTCTCTGCTCTCCCCAGGTTGGTGGTTCGTCAGCACAGCAGAGGAGCAGGGCTGGGTGCCGGCCACATACCTGGACTCCCAGAATGTTACCAGAGACGATTTGGATCTGGGCACTTCTAGGACCGGAGAAGGTTAGCGCAGACGCACAAACCAACATGACATTATTAGACCCACAGAAAGACACAGTAGTCACATGTTGCTGTAGAACGGTCTGCGTGGAACAGGGCCAGAGTTTACACCTCGATCAAAGACTGCACACAGAGACAGTCCACACACACACTCACCAACAGTCCACCAGTCACACATTAGGAGCCTTGAAGACCACAGCAGCTGCGTGGTGAAATGGTACCAGACCACAGCCAAAGGGTTTACAAGATTTTGGCACCACAGAAAATTCCTGTAACCCCCCAGGGAGGCTGCAACCCCGGCAGGAGCCTGGTATTGTTGCGACCTTTCTGCCCCCATGTTTAGTGGAAACACTGGCATGTGAGCATGCATGTGAGCACACACGCTTGCATGCATGCTCACATGCATGCTCAGAAATGCCGCGATAGTTTTGCTGTAGAGGACCACTGGATGATCCAACGCTGCTACACAGTCACTGTTTGCGCCTTATTCCTCATTCCCTCGCGCGCACACACCTGGTGTCTTAACGTTTGCACACATCGTCACTTCCTATCTCCGATCCCCCCGTCGTCCCGCTCATCTCATTATCTCGGCGTGGTCTGTAAACTAATTCCACTGACAGCTCAGCCCGCTGGAGGGGATCCGACAGGCTCACGCTGAAATTACCTCCAAATAACATTTCCCTTTGTGCCGTCCCTTCCTGATATTTCTATTAGGAGGTCAAAGCAGTAGGCTGGTGCTCAGTGGGATGGATGCAAGGCAGACAGGAGTCCAGAAAGGTAGCAGAGGCACCCGAAGCGAGGGAGGGTCCCGGGAAGTGGGGGGTGGGGGTGATCAGATTAGACTTGTTTGCTCTCCATGGGGCCTTAGACAATAAGGGAGGAAAACGTCTCCTGTTATGACTGTGGCTGCAAGCAGGACTGACCTCATGAAAAGACAATCTGTCTTTTTTCTTTCCTAGTTGATGGAAGGTTTTAGACACAAATGACTTCATAAGGTGATGTTTACTGTGTGAGTCCTGTTTTTTATCATTTTATTTAGCTAATTTCATGACCTGATGAATCTTTGGTTCAGAGACAGGGACATAAGTTTGTAGAGGAGCCGCTCTGAGAGCTTCTCCTGGACCTTCAGCCTGAGCCTTCATCAGTGGTTTCATTTCCCACCGGTCCCACAGCGTACTTATGGTAATGGGGGCTGCAGGCTATTTGCATAGCAAAGATCTTATCTCATATGTTCAACAACACGCATTTGTCCTCTGGGCATGGCACACACACACACACACACACACACACACACACACAGCTGCACGTTTAACTGTATTTTGCTAGTTGAACTTTTTAAACAAATAGTTTAACAGATTCTTAAGGAGAATTCCTTCACCAGAATATACTTTTGATGCTCTTCTGTCTCATTTAGGGTTCATCCTTGTAGACTGACCAGTCGATAAACAACATAACGGGACATTGGGACATTTAATTGACATGTAGGGGACCGCTGTGTGTCCCCGATTGTCCAGAGGGAAACCCATTGCTGGCTAACAGAAGATTTCTATATAACTAGTACCTCCGGGTCGTGTTGTCTGTTGTATTAAAATGTAACACACATTTTGACTCCATAAAGCAGCAAGGAAACGCTGTGTCTTACGTACTGTCATAGTATGTATGGACGGATGTATTGGAAAGACCTCGTCTTATTCAGCTCCTCAAACTGTGACGCTCTTCCTTACTGTTACAGTTACACGTTGGCGTAGGTGAAATAGTTTCTTCAGTCAACATAAAAGACTCAACATTGTCTTCCACCCGGGACTGTCTCCTGGGTGAAAGTCCTGGTGTCTTTGAGCTCTCCGTCCTTGGTCACCTGACTGTGCTGGGGAGGGGCGTAGCGCGGAGCTACTGGTGCGTGGAGCGCTGTGATAAGAAACATTATCATTACGGCCTGGGAATGAGACCAGCTTAGAGCGCTTCACGTCACATCTAACACATCCTGAACTAAACACGTCCCAATCTCAGCTCATCATTGCAGGAGGAGTCCTTGACCTACAGCGAGGGTTATCCGCTAAACTCTGCTAATCTCTGCTTCTAACACTTAACTACATCTTTTTTTTCTTTCTGCCCCTTTTTGGTTGCTCTCCCTCCTCCTCCTCCTCCTCATCAGTAACTAAGAGACGGAAGGCACATCTGAAGAGGCTGGACCGCCGCTGGACCCTCGGGGGTATAGTCAACCGGCAGCAGAGCAGAGGTGAACGCGGAGGCAGTGTGATGTATATTTATACTGCAGATGCAGATGTTTTAGTGTGTTGGTTCTTTTCTTGGAGGAATCCTGTGTGGCAAAAACCAAAAGGTCCATCTTCCACGGTCAGCGCTCACCGTGGAATAGACTCGCTGCTGAACACGCAGCGCAAGTAATTAATAAATATGCTGGTCTCAGCGAAAAAGACCTTTCGTTGAACACAACACTAACTTTGGATCTGAAAAGATTAGCTGTGGGAGCGGAGACGGATGCACACGCACACACACACACACACACACACACACACACACACACACACACACCCCCCATCGAAGTCTCGGCGCAGATTATAATCACGTTTTTAAAACTCACTTCCCCAAACATAGAATGCACACCTTCGCTGTACACAGTGTTGCTGCTTAGCTAAAGCCAGCTCCCTCCGGTTTAAAATGCTGGGAAATGCTTGTATTTCTCCGAAAAAATGCTTCAATGCTGAAGGAGCGACCACACACACACAGAAAAAATACGTTCACACAAAGCTGCAGCGCTTCGTTTTTTAGCAGTGGACATAACAAACTGCTGATTTAAGGACTCAAACTGCGCAGCACATCGTCCTTCATGCAGGGGAGCAGGAACCCAGTTCTTTATCAGGAGCCAGTCCTCAACACCCTCCAATCAACACTCAGCTAGAAGGAATTATCTAAAAGGAGACTGAAGGACAAGGACTGCTGCACGCTAATATTTTGAATGTAAATTGAGAATTAGGTCTTATATGCAGGTACCTCTCGCCCGTTGTAATCCCCTCCCCTCTTTAACTCGGTGTTTGCTCAACGAATAGAGACACCACGGTCCCTGCCTGATAAGGCATTGCTGAGCTGGCGTTATCAAAACGTGTGAGTGAGGTTTTACACACACTTGAGGTACAGTTTGATTGAGTAGCACTGGCAAAGGACAAAAACAAAGAGCGATTACTCTGCAGCCGGTTTGCTGACACACGCTGCAACGTTACGCCTCGTGAAGGAGACGGGACCTTAAGAGCAAAGTCAGGGCGCGCTCGCCTCTCCAATTGAATCAAAGTGTGAGGGTGAACCAGACGCACACAGCGCCAAAGAATTTGTTAGCAGGACATCAATACACATCCTAAACCATCCCATTTCTTATTCTCTGTTCATCTGCAGGCACTCGCACGACCCCACACACACACACAGGCTTTCAGGCCTGGCATTCCACTCAGCAAGCAGAGGAAGTGGAGTCCCTGCCGTGGGGCGACTGTCCCGAGCTCCTTGAATGCACACATTCACATGAATAAGCAGACGCGCCTTTCAGATATCGTCCCTGACCTTCACGTGTTCTAGAAAAATCTCGTTCCCTCCAGCCAGGTCCTGGCTAACGCACGATACTGTACGTGTAAGGATCTGTCCCTCACATCTCCAGTTACTTAAAGGCACAGCATGTAAGTATTTGGTGGCCACGGTGTAGCTTGGAACGCTACGACAATATCTGTTTTGACTACATGAATATTGCATTTTCTAGCTTTGGCTTACAGTATACTGTAGAGTTCCACCGCCTTTAGGTAACAAAAAGGGGAAAGTCTCTAGAGCCTCTGTTTGGTTTGTCCATTCTGGGCTACTGTAGGACACGGCGGACTCCGCCTCCTACTGACGATTTAGACGTGAAGGGCTCGTTCTAAACAAGCGATCCCGTAGTTACACTAATGGTCGTGTATTTGATGTTCCACTGGTACCGATGGGTCCTCTGAAAGGCCTCACACTCGACCTTTAAGTCATCCGATCACGAGCCACTGAGATGAGCTAACGTGTGTTGCACTGCTGGGAAGCTTGGTCTGACTTATGTTAGTAAGTACTGTGACCCTCTACACACCATGTAGAACGTGCTTCCCTTCAGGCCGGTTGTGAGGGAGGAGTGGTGGTCAGATAGGGATCTGAGACGAGAGAACTTGGTCCAAATATCTCCCTCTGGGGGCCCTGATGTCGGCCAGCCACTTGAAGGGGAATCACCCTTCACATCTCGGACTAAAGCTGTTTGTGCCCCTTCCATCTGGCAGGAGGCTGAGGTCCATCAGGACCGAGACCTCACGCCACACAAACAGTTTCTTTCTCGTCAACAGAACCCGGGTCCCCGACTGACTCCGCTCCAAGCACACTTTCAAATACACTTGTGTATGATATCGTTGTGTTTGCCCGAGCACTTTTGTTCATGGCCATGTATGCACCACCCACCATGAGAAACTGATTGTGACGCTGAGCGAGATGCAGGATCTGGATCGGGGGGGAGAATAGCTCCAACGAGGACTCGCGTGGATGACAAACAAGCAGCGACAGGGAGCTGCTTGTTATTAATGTGTTTGTGTCGTATGGAAATAGTCCGAGGGTTTTAAGTAGGTCACGCTCCCCACGTGTCCCCCTCATAAGGCCTCTGGAAATACGTAAACTCCACAGTGGTCTCGCCGCTCGGTGTGAGAGGGCTTAATGACCCCAGGTCACTCACTGTGCTACTCTCTCTCCGTCCTTCCCCCAGAGGAGAAGTACCTGACCATACAGCCGCACTCCAGTCAAGGGAAGGATGAAGTGAGCTTCGAGAAAGGGGTCACCGTGGAGGTCATCCAGAAGAACTTGGAGGGCTGGTGGTACATCAGGTGAGTTGCAGAAGGAGAGAGGGGGGGGGCTCTGCAGCTGTATTCTAATGTGTGTGTGTGCAGTTAACCCAGCCAGTGTGTGTGTACCCATTGTTCGTCTCCCTTCATCCCCCATTGCTGTCTCATGTTTCCATGTGGCATGTGACATGCACAGTGAATACGGCTAACATGTGTACATCAGCTTGGGATACTACGTGGTTGGAGGGGGTGGCGTCAGAGAGATTTGGGACATTGGTGACTCACCGTCATTGGAACGCACAGCGAGTCGTCTCAGAGCACAGCTCCACCAGGAAGCCGAACCCCAGATGTACGTGCTTCTCCAGGGAAGTCTAAACATCAGGGATTCTTTTCTCTTCTGGGGATTCCTCCTGGTCACTGCTCGACTGTCTGCACCACGAAGTGATCGGACGTGTTTTGAGTGAAGAGTAGCCCACAGAGAGGCAAATGACTCACGTATTTGCATATGCAGACCCATTGATCCACGAAGCACTCTGAAATGACTCATTTGGATGAAGCATGAAAGTTACGCATTAAAATGGTGTTCAACACACAGGATCTTATTTGGGTCATTTCATCCCCTAGTGGCGTCCCAGGGAATGTATCCCGCTGAGGTGTGATTTATGGTCAAAGTAATATCAAAGCATTTCTTCAAGGGGCACTGGTGATACACTATTGCACCTTACAGAAAGGAAGAGGTTGTAATAATAATTCCATCCCTGTGGGTCAAGCTCCAGAAACTCTACATTTCCCATAATGCCTAGTACACAACCAGACCTTTCAAACTGACTCCATAAAGTGATGATGTGTGAGCTTGGAACAGGCTCCTTTGGATAATATAACACAGGGATACCTTCCCTTCTGTGTTTGCCCACAGATACTTGGGGAAAGAGGGCTGGGCTCCTGCCTCCTACTTGAAAAAGATGAAGGAAGACTTCTCCCCCCGCAAGAAGACCCTAACGGGCCCCGTGGAGATCATCGGCAACATCATGGAGATCAGCAACCTGTTGCAAAAGAAGTCGGTCAGCGAGAAGGACATCCAGACGGACGCGGAGGGCAGCACCACGCCGGAGCGCCACATCTCCAAGAGCGAGATCAGCCTCCCGGTGCCCTACAACTCCGAGATCAACGCCGAGACGGGCAGGAGGCTGAGCGCGGGCCGCGACACCAACAGCCCGTGTCTGGGAATAGCAGCGAGCGCCGCCCTGAGTGAGAATAAAGGAAGGGGCGAGCCAGGCTCCCCGGCTGTGGCCAGAGTGGCTCCGCACAGAGTGGAGATTGGTGAGTGCTCGTGGGGCGTCAGCAGACAATTGAGCTGTAAATGCAATCCAGCGATGGAGAGGAGCTTTTGTAGTCCTGGTATGAGACATTAAGGCTTTTCCTTTTGTGTAGTCTTTGATGCTGTAGGTAAACTACGTGATGGTGGTGGTGTAATCTAACACGTCACACTAATCTGTGCGGCTCAGTGTGTCTATTTCCATTTCAGTCACGTGCTCCTTGAAGCATCCTGAGCATTTATTTTCCAAATACATGAATGGTATCATGTAGAGAAATAAAATAATTAACAATAATAATAATTACGAGTTTTACCTCGGATATTAAAGTCTCATTCAAACAGGAATGAGGAATAAATACGACTCCATAGTTCTTAACTGTTGGATGTGGGTTCATAGTTTTAATAACATGTGTTTTTGTTTATCAGGGTCTCCAAATCTGAGACAAAAACCCCCCCCACGAAGAGAAACCAACTTGGTAAGACACTCACAAGCTGCTGCTCTCTAATAGCCAAGAGGACTTAAATGTGAATGTAGCCTCACCGAACTACCTTTGATCCCAGAGAAGAAGTAACTTTATTTTAAGAACAGCTCAAACACAGATGAGCTGTGAGAATTAGCATCGCACCCTTTAAAGCACAGTAACAATGCCGTGATATTTCAGCATCTGAATGTGTCACTGACCATTTACATACTACACATACCATGTTATGTGTCATATCGCGCCATGAAACCTGAGCATGTCAAACGCCTTGTGATGCTGGCTAGATCCAGTATGTCTGCTGCTCACATCTCTTCCTCTTTGCTGTCCAGGGATTCCAGTTACCAAAGCCTCCAGAGCCCCCTGCTGTGGAAGCAGAGTATTACACCATAGCAGATTTCCAGTCCTCCATCTCTGATGGCATCAGTTTCCATGGAGGACAAAAGGCTGATGTAAGATGATGGTTCATTGTTATCTCCACCAAGTGCTACCCAGACAGACAGATATATTGATGTGTTAATGTTCGTCTTTAATGTAATAACATAATATTCTGGATCAGGTGCGTATCTCTGCATAAAAGACATACACTTTTTCAGATTGCTTATATCTTCCATGTCTTATAGGTGATAGAGAAGAACCCTGGAGGCTGGTGGTATGTGCAGATTGGAGAGATGGAGGGCTGGGCCCCCTGCTCCTACATCGACAAGCGGAAGAAGCCCAATCTCAGCCGACGGACCAGCACCCTGACCCGGCCCAAAGTCCCGCCCCCAGCTCCTCCTGTCAAAAAACAAGAGTCTGACGAGGCTCCTCCTCCCTCTAACTCTGCCTCTAAAGTCCCAGAGCCGCCGAGCAGGCCTGCGTACGAGGAACCTGAATATGATATTCCTGCAATCGGATGCGACGGTGAATCCGACACGGATTCACGGAAAAATGAGCGTGCCTTCGATGTGAAGATTACCAGCATGGCCAGCAACAAGTACCGCGGCCCCCCTCCTTCCTGCAAGGCCTCTCCTCCTGTCTGCAAGGCCCCTCCTGTCTGCAAGGCGTCCCCCGTGTTTACTCATCGAAGAGCGGCCTTCAGGTCTGCAGAAGAGGTTGCAAAAGAGGAGTGCGTCTATGAGAACGAAGGCTTCAGGCCAAGCAGTGGAGTTGAAAGAACTTCCGTCAAAGGTTCTAGTGAGCCAAATTCTCCAAGGAGCTACCATTCCTCCACCGTTCCACGCAGGCCATCCGGATCCTCCCCTTTAGCTGGTCGTCCCATGAAGGCCATTACACCAGAGGTCAACCGCAGAACCCAAACTCTAGGCAGACATGTGGATATCCGCTTCAGGTCGCAGAACAACAGCCCCCGGCTCTTCATCGGATGAATTGAGCAGAGGCCCCAAGAAAGGCTCCGCCTTCAACCGGGATGTGGAGCAGAGGATTGGTCAGAGCCCCTCCACCAGGCCCAAGCCTTCCGTCAGACCTAAACCGCTCCTGACCAAATCCGAGCCCCAGAGTCCAGAGAGGATGGACATCAACTCTTTGAGACGGCAGCTGAGGCCCACAAGTCAGTTCCGGCCTCACAGCCTCAAAGCCAGCCGCGGGGACGACTCTGAAACGGCCTCTGTCGTCTCATCAGAGGACTCGATGTGTTCACGCAGCACCTCGGATCTCTCTTCCGTCTACTCCAAAGGAAGCCGAGGGGAGTCAGACGTGGAAGGTCCCAACCTCTACCGCTCCCTGGATAACTATAAGAAGGTCCAGGACTCTGAGATCAGCTTTCCAGCCGGGGTGGAGGTCGAGGTCCTGGAGAAGCAGGAGAGCGGTTGGTGGTACATTCGTTGGGCATCCGAGGAGGGCTGGGCTCCTTCGTACTACCTGGAACCTGTCAGACCAGTGGGGGATGCAGGTAGGTTGGACCTGGGTAGACATGCTGGGAGTAAGTCCAACAGCCTGGAGAAAAACGAGCAGCACGTTCTGGCCCTGAACAACATCAACATCCAGGGTCCGAGCCAGCAGCATCAAGGTGTGAGGAGGGATACCCCGCCAATCCCTTCAAAGCCTCCTGGTGGCTTTTCCAAGCCTTCTGGGACAGTCAATGGAGCAGTGCGGATGAGGAACGGGGTACGTCAGGTGGCGGTGAGGCCTCAGTCGGTGTTTGTAACCACATCTCAGCCCGCCAAGGACTCCCACTACATGACAGGGTCTCTGAGGCGGAACGACTCCCTCGGCAGAAGCGATCACTACGGCTCCGGTTCGGCCACTCTTGGCGTCCGCCGCAACGCCTCCTTCAGCACGGTGCGTCCACACGTCGTCGTAGAGAGTAACACGAGGCCCGCCGAGCGCTCCGGCCCGGGCTCCTCGGGGAGCGCGTTCAGCACGGGCAATGTCCAGGACTCCTTGAGCAGAGTTAACCAACGCAATGGCATCCCCGTGTCCACGGTGCGACCCAAGCCCATAGAGAAGGGCCAACTGATCCACAACAACCTGGGCAGGGACGTGTACGTGTCCATCGCCGACTACCGCGGCGACGAGGAGACAATGGGCTTCACCGAGGGCACCTGCCTGGAGGTGCTGGAGAGAAACCCCAACGGGTGGTGGTACTGCCAGGTGCAGGACAGCCTGCTGCCCCGCAAAGGCTGGGTCCCCTCCAACTACCTGGAGCGGAAGAAATAAGCAGCCCCACGTCCCCCCCCCCCAGTGTCCCACTTTTTGATGTCTTCAAGGACGCCAGTGGCATCACTCCTCTACAATGTTACCCGCACTCTCATGCAAGCAATATGTCCTTGACAATGTAAACTTATACGCGTATAAAAAGAAAGGAGACTTTTAGTGCTGGTTTACTAAAATGTATACAGTGTAGACTTGAGACAAACTGGAGGAGGACAGTTTCTCTGAGATAGAACATGGTACGAATGGGAGGGGGGACCTCTGAACGATGTGGAGAAGTTGAGCAGCAACCCGCTGATGCTCATTCCTGCCATCAGTGACGCTGATGGCCGATAAGTGCCTTTTGTAGAGGATCACTTGGTGGACGGCAAAACCGCAAATCAACCAAACCTTTTTGGAGTGCCATAGGTGTGTGAATACCAACGGAAATATTTCCAAAGCATATTAAGAGCGACACTGTTGAGTGCCAACAAGGTGTAGAGTTTTGATCTCGAGGGCTGCAATTGGTCCAACTCAAATTTAAGATAAACAACTGAGAATGAAGTGAGAATGTATTCTTTTTCTAAGCCGCACGTCATCGCGCAAACTAAAACATTGTTTTAAGTTCATTATTCAGTTTCATTTTTCATGTTTTATTGTCGTGTCGTAGAGAATTATTTCTGCTCTCTTGTGACATCCGTTTTCCGCCAACAGCCTAGAATTGAAAGGTTAGAGCTCGGGCCGTCCGACACCAGCCAGCATACACAAGCTGCTCGGCTTTCAGACACTTCCCTCAGCCCATAGAATTATTTGCTGATATTCATTCCCAGATACAACTAGCGGAAATAACAAATGTCTAAAAATAAACCTGTGAAACCTTAAAATAACACAAAGATCTTTTAGTTTTCTGGAAAATCAAAGAACGACATATATTGTAAGTTTATCTCAAACAAAACCACCACAAACAGTTACAAAGGTTTGCCTTTACTGCCGTGATTTTAGTAATGATTTGATTAATATAATTTTGTACATATTTTATTTTTTACCAATGTTTGAATAAGTACTGGAAATGTACAATAATTAAATTCCAGGGACATTATTTGCATAGACCATATCCCAAAATGTGATTAAATCAAAGAGAAATGTCATTTCATTGACAATTTTAGTAATTTTGCTATTTATTTATTATAAGGATAAGTAATACAGTGTATTCTACAACATTTATAAAATAAGTCTGTACCTGGAAGCACGTGATTTATTTCCTCCAAATTACAAATCCAAGTGCATCGTAATATTACAAATTGCTATGCAGTATCGGTTTTGACACAACATGTATTTATTTGTATTTTTTACATTTTCCAAATTAGAGTCGGGCATCATATTACATTTGATATAATAAGGACTTTAAGCATTTAAGAGTATCAAGTTCACAACAATTCCCCGAATATGCAGAAGTGAAGTGTGAGAATGTGATATTCTGAGCTCAAATCTAACTTTTAAAATTCAAATGGCTGATGTTCAAGACTGCTGAAATTAATTTTCTGATGAGCGCTGTGAGCTCTAACCAATGATTGCGTTTCTGCTGGACAGTATCACAGTATTAATAGCAGTTATCTATTTTTGTGTGTAATGTGTTACTCTGATCACACAGGGACAATAACGAGGAACGAAGTGGTTCTTTTTTGTGATTTAGTGCACTTTAAACCAGATGTAAAGCAGTAAATACGCAGCATTTTATTTATTCAACACGATATTGTAATTATTCAATTTCAGTGCTGCTCATGCTGCCAAATGCCAAAGTTATACTGATAGAAGTAGAGCCCTCTAGTGGCTGCTTGGAGGTACTTCAGCTGTAGCAGTGGCCCTTCCTTAGTGGAGGAACACACACTGCTGGCCAGTGACACAAAACTCTACACAATGTGTCCGATTTAGTTTCTTCTATTTTTCAACTTTAAAGCAGCTGAGACGTTTTTTTGTATTGGGCAATAATTTGTATTGTTTATTTTTAATTAAGAAAAACAAATCTATTTTTTCGTTGATGCTGTGCGCAAAAAATACAAAAGCAGCAAATCACAGGCCCTTCCTTCATCTTTATTGTACTTTACATAATGCCGGATTTTCTATGTATTTATTATGAAATCTTTTGTATTTTATCATGGTTCGACAATCACCTCATTCGTCCAATCGAAATATTATTCTACGAAATTAAGGAGAAATTGGCCCCCAATGTCCAAAACAGCCACCTGTTAGTCACCCAAAAAGGGTTTCATAATTTGGCAAAATGTGAGATTTTTGCATTACGATATATTTCAAATCTAAATCACACGTGGATGAATACTAAGATTACGATCCAGACGAAGGCATTATGTAACTGTGTTAAATCACTGTACATTTCTTTTTGCATATTGCTTGTTCTGATTTGACTGACTTGAGTGTAATAGTACGGGAATGTTCTGTGAAAGGTTTACATTTAGCTGTGCGGCCTCTGTCTGTACTCATGCTTTCACCGTTTGTTTTTTTTTGAACCCAAAATTCTGAAATGTAACCGTGAGGAAATGTGCAACACATCAGCAAGGCACTAACATCACACGAGTATGTATTCCCAGTCGTCACAGAATGAGCCCATGTGGAGGGACCTGAAAGCGCTGAGGACTCATCGGACTTGTCTCCTTGTCTCCTCACGTCCCAGACTTTGCTAACAGCACGAGGACATGTGCTCCTCCGGACGGCGGCCACGTGGCCGGCATGGCAGAGCCCCTTGTGTACACCCATTACAGCCATCAGGGGTCTTATTCGCTGACGGAGAGTCAAGGGCCCATCATCAGGGGCCTCGGTGGCCCTGCTCTGAGCTGTCACGTTCGTGCCTGAATGGAATTTTGATAGTTTCATAGTGTCCTGTGATTTGTCTTTGGTTAGGGTTTTCTTCTTTTTCTGTTAGCTTTCTGAAGGGTGTCCTCCCCGTACCTTCGCGATGCCTCTAGCGCCCCCCCCGTCCTCGGTCAAGTCAGATGTTCTCGTCACCAATCACCGCAGACAAAGGTGACGTGCCGAAGGCCACGAGGGTAAACAAGGGAGCGGGGAGCAGAACGCCCTTCAGACCATTTCAGACCAATCCATCAGCTTCCAGGATGTACGCCAAAAAATAGAAAAGCCTTTATTTTTATCTTTGCCTTATCCATGTGTGACAGGTGTACACATCATCGTGCTAACGACCTCCTGTATGTACAGGCCGATAAGGCCTGAGTCGGCAAATCTTTCTGTCAGGAGAGCCCGTTGTTAAAGTCAAAGTCATTCGTTTCAAAACACGCTCTACACGTCGGAAAAGAATTGCTGAAAACTCGTGGAAAGACTGAAGTTGATCGTTTGTCATAGTCATTCATTCCGTCTAACCGGACGAAGAATGATGTAATGCTTTGAACCTCTCCTTAAAAGGAACAGTTGTGAGTTCTGTGAGAGTCGGACGAGGAAACGATGAAGCTTGTTTGTCTGCTGTCACTCTTCAGGATGGGGGACGATCCTCTGGCTGCCTGTTCATGACGCTAAGCAGCCTCGTGGTTTTCCGGCTTAGTGTTCAGACACGAGACGGCTCTCATTCTGCTCCATCCATCTCTCTGCGTAGTCAATGAGTGTGTTCCATAAAAAGGTCCTTTAAGTGAGAGCCTCCTCCGGTGAAAGCGCCACAATGGGGGCGTGGCTTGTGCGGTGGTCATTTATCTCACGCCGGAGGAAAATGGATGAGTTTCTCCACACATTCCCCAGAGAAGCAGCAGAGTGAGCTGCACCCCCCCCTCCCCCCTCATAAAGTCTGTCCCCATGAACCCAGAGCTGACGCTGCCGCCGGCGTCTTCCTCCTGTCTGCGCTCCTCGTCCTTCCTCCTCGCTCCTTCCTCGAACACAGACGAGACGTCTATTCCCGCGGAAAAAGATTGCGATGTGGAGGTGTGGAGGAGGCCCGTGTGTGTCCACCAGGGGAGCTGGAAGGCCTGTGGGTGCCCTCAGGAGAGCATCATCTGGGGTCAAGGAGGGGATTGGGGAGCGTAGGATGCAAGGAGACAGGAGATGTATCAGGTGGGGGAATCTAGGAGACAAGGGGAGAGGAGTAGAGAGACTGGGGGGGCGTTTTTATCCAACCACTAGAACAAAGCAGCAGCCTAACCAGCGCCCGAGCCCGGATCCAAACGCCGGTTTAATTGATGCTTGAGCAAGTGAGTTCACGCTACAGCCTCCCTCCTCCTATGGGAGAACTTTTAAAAAACGATCTCAAGTCTTTTGCTGCTATCGTCTTCAGATCCTCTGCCGGGGGGGGGGGGGGAACGCTTGTGCTCGCTGTACGGTTGTTGTTATTTTGGAATAAGACAAAAAGCAGGCTTTGTTGAGTCACATGCCCCCGTTTTTCTGTCTTATTCCTCACAGTTGTTTTTGTTGCTGAGGGAAACGGTTGAATGGATTTGAAGCGCTCGCTCAAATCTAATGAGACAAGCTGTCTTTCATAGTAAAAAGAAAGGAAAAGGTCTCGCGAAGGCTGCGGTAGAGACGAGGACGGGGTGGGTTTGATAAGCAGGTGTGAGTACGTGTTGGGGAGGCGGGCGGAGGTATTTAGGGAGATGATGTTGTATGTGTTTTAATGAACCTGAAGATGGTGTTTGGGTGAAGAAAGGAAAGCGTGAGCGAAGCTGCGGGGCCCCCGCCGAGGACTGCTGGTCCCGCTTCGGAGAGCCTCGTTTGGAGGCGCCGGCGGGGGACCAGCGGGAGCGGCAGAGGAAGCCGCCTGTCGATGAACGAGGCTCGCAGCCGCGCCTGCGTGCCGCCGCTTCTTGTCCCGGGGGGGGGGGGGGCGGGTGCCAAAAACAAAGGAACTGTGGAAAGCTGATCCGTCACAGACACACACACATAACAGGCAGAGGCCTGGAGGTAGACCAAAGGAGCTGCTGATCTGTTATGTTCTTTGTTTTATTACTGTCGTCGTTATGTAGATGTTTGACCCTCAAAAGGGACGCCGCGAGGAGAGGCTCCATCGCCCCACGGGGCGTTAACGCGGGGGCCGTTCCTTCCTGCACACGGGGCATTTCTTTACCCAACGCTTCGTCTTGCTACCTTTCTTTTGTATCTTGTACATGTTTACATTGTATCTCCCATCGCCCAAAAGAGAAACCGTATTAAATGTATTATCTCTGTTTTAGAACGACTCCTTTGCGTTTGTCTCACACTTGGGTTCGCGTGTGCCGCTGCGGATTAAAGAGCAGCCAGCCGGCTCTCCGCTCGCCATGAGCGATGGCGTGTGGAAGGAATGCTACAGATTGAGACGTTTGTCTTTATTCGCCTTCTTGCGCCGGCTGGATTAAGTAAGTTTAAATGTGGACGCTGGTTATGTATACACAGACATGAGCGATACATGAGGACAAACGAGCTCTCTGCCTCCTGGTTCCCTACTAAAGACCACAGACGAGGACTTTTGTCCCCCCGCTGTGTCCAAACGTGTGTGGAGAGATTCATAATTTATGTCCATACATGCTTACGCTGCGTTCACTAAACAAAGCACCTCTGAAAGCAAAAAGCTACAAGATGCTAGCCGTTACACAATAGCGTCATACTTTGATGCTGTTCATAAACTGAAACATAATAATCTACATGTCAGCAAGTAGGGGTTGTGTCTCTGTCCTCATTAGCTCTCTTTGCGTCCCCACAGATATGTCTCCCTCTCTCTCTGCTGTGTCCCCTAGCTTGCTGTTAGCGCTAACATGCTAACAGGCTCTAAAGAAGTGTGAAGGTGCAGCCTGCCGATGTTTTCCTGCCGTTTTGATACTGTGTGATACACATTTACCTCTTAATTGGTGTGAAATATTGATTAGTGTAGCTTCTATCAGTTGCACTTTGTAAATATTGAAATGTTATAAATAAATATAAATTAAATGTGAGCGGTCACCCAGCAGTGAAGACAAACAAACGAAGTTGTCTCAAGCCATCAGATAGCTTTCATCAGACGTGAGGACAGATCCCACGGCAACTGCTGTTTCGGTGGGATGGACACTGAAAGACAAAGATGGTCTTATCTGTCCACCGAGGAAGACCTTAAGATGCTTGCTCAATGGGCTTTTAATTCATATTTTCTGTCCAACAGGTATTTACATTTTATCCCAAGTAATATTTGTTTTTTATTGAACCCTCCATACCGGCGTCTGTCCACTGGAGGGCAGTGTGGAACCTTCTAGCTCAGAGGAGCGGATCTCCGTACGAATAGACCTGCACGCTACACAGTCAATATGCACCTTGATATTAAGTCTCCAAATGATTAACTATTAAGATTGGCCTTTTCATACGGTGTAACTACTTGGTTGAGAACATTGAAGGAGGACGACCGAGTTGAACTGTGAACATTGTTGGATACACAAGTCTGGATTATGGTTCCCTGAGATTATTACTCATTGTATTCATGTCCATTAGCTTCTTCTTAGATATGTACATGTCCGTTAGGGATAAATGTCTTCTGACATCTGGTCGAGGTGCTTGATAGATTTATTGTGCGGTCCTTTTGGTACAGTTTAAGGTGCAGGTATTTCCACTGATCTCCTAATCCCCACCATTACCCGTGAAGCCCCCCGGCAGCTGAGCTGGGACTGGGACAGAGGCCACAGCACTTTGTGTCTCACGCCCTCCAGAACGTCTTCTACATGTGAAATATCTGAGCTTGTGCAGACACACTAAGTGGCGGTTAGCTAGCATGGTGTGATGACAACTCGAATGTCACCCAGTTGTAGAAAGGATCCAGGATACATGTATCTGTGTGGCTGCGTCAGACAAACACCACTTCAACACAGCTCAAACACATCTGGAAAGTTTATTCAATACAATCATCCGACGCTCACTGACAGACACGTGATGTTTCATGAGAAAAACAAGATTTGAGTTTGTAAAGTACTTCAGCTGCTGAGTCTATACATGTTTGTGTGTGTATGTATGTAATATATATATATATATATATATATATATATACATACATACATACATGGTTCCAGTCTACAGCGGTCCACTCGGAGGCTCTACTGTTGGTCCCCATGGTAACGCAGGCATTACAAAAAGTACTAAGCTCCACAGAGCACCGCTAAAGAAAGCAAACACACAGGAAAAGCACGATCCAAGGAGTTAGTCCACACAACAGTGATGGACAAATAAATAATACAGGGTCAGGATCGGTGACACTCAAAGAGCCTGTGGAGGATTGGAGATGCAAACAAATGATATAAAATACAAATAGCTTCAGTAAACGCTATGTAAGGGTTGTTTGCTGATGACATTTTTCAGTCCGGCTTTTGGCTGGGTGTGTATTTAGCAATTCATGTGGTCCAAAAACACATCTTTAAACAGGTCAAACTGAAAATTGGGTTTTGCACCAAAGGATTTACATGCATGAGATGTAAAGACAAACAAAAATAATCAATGATCAATTTGGAGTGTCAAAATAATACAGACGTAGTTGAGTCGAAACATGAAGAAGATTACAATCAGTAGCTTTATAAAGTGACATTTATCATTCAGATAGCTTCCAGACTCAATAATGAGAGATCTACTTACAGAACGAGGAAGACGGCTCCCTGACACGGGCTAACACACGAGAAGATCAATTACAGAAAAGAGCTCGCGGAATCTAAGGATTGTAATTAAACCAAGAGTTTATATCATGCACCAAAAGCAACGAGGTTCTGATTGTATACTGCAATATTACTTACTGCCGCAAGGTACAAGAAACTATACTCCCACTACTAAAGAACAAGGATGGACGACAGAAAAACAAATCTCAGAACCATGATTATCACTAAGAGAAAAACTGAACTTTTTTTCTTTGTTTTTTTGTTTCAAATCAAGCAAGCTGATGAAAACCATTAATCTCTCTAAACACACAAGTTGACATTCAAATGTGAATCCACACTTCAAGCAGTAGCGTATCAAAGTGTAGTGTGGGAGGAGGGATCTGGGAAACATCTCGGTCAGCATTGGCCCACAGAGGACAGCTGGCCAATAGCGTAGCAGCAAAGTTTGAGCCCCGGGCGTTTACCTGCAGAGTGCAGGAGGGTGACATCAAAGAAGACGAACGGTCTGTCAGCTCGGGCCGTCCTCTAATGAGCAAAGGCTTACTGCTGAGCTGCTGTCTCTGGGGGGGGGGGGGGGGGACATATGAAAACATTTTGTAGGGGTATTACAGCATCAAAACCCTGCCGATTCAAAACATGGACCGCTTCATGCTGCTGGGGAAAGGGTTGTCACAAAGCTTTAAAAAACAGTTCTGTTCAATATTGGAAATGTTGAGAATTTATGTTACAAAAATAGATTTTCTCGGATGGGGGAATCTTTTTGTGTCACACAACAGGATTATTTGGTAACGCGTCAACGGCTTTTGTAAAACGTCAGAAACCACATGAACCTCCTCTGGTTTAAGGCAGGAGGCTGGGCGACATCTGTGGTGGCTTCTGACGCCATGGCAACGATCCTTTGACTCCGCGTTGTCATGGGAACTATTTCAGAGCAGCTGTCGATTCGTCATGAGCGCTCACAGTGTGTCAGGCATGACATGGCTGATGTTTGGGCGGACGGTAAAAAGATTGTGGGCCCTGAGGAGAATCCAAAACCACTTCCTGTTTCCTGCTACAGCTTCCGAGCCGCTGAATCTATTGGACGCAGGTTTGTAGATTGTTTGAACCCGAAGAACGTCTTTAACCTCGGTGTCTTTTTAACGGGGCCTTTCTGAGAGGACAGTGCTGATTTCAGTGCAACGTAGCACACGGCAGAGCAAGCTGCTAGCTAGCGCGACGACATAGCTACCACCAACATTTGCAATAGAACTACCAAAGAGGTACATTAGATTATACGAGTACAAGAGGTGTTACAATCCTACTTAGTATACTCCGCTCTGCCTTCCACCTCTACGCACATCACTCACTTCTAATCACTACGACTCCAACAGAGATCCATGACTTCATGGCGGAGTGCTCAGTAACACACAGACACAAGTTGTGAGGTACTGAGAGGAAAAGGTGTCAGAGCTTCTTCAGTCGTCCTTGGAGAGAACGACTATCAACACATTCAGCCCCAAAGTGACTTGTTTGCTTTGGTGCAAATTGGGGTGACGGTCCTCATAACTTACAACATTGCTTCACAAATGACATTTTTTTTTGGGGGGGGGGATTGTCTCAGTTGTTAGAGAGAGTTGTCTCTCTGTAACATTCTCCAAAGATCCCGGCAGAGAGCAAACCCTTGTGGTTAGAAGAAAGCTTATTTGGGGGCACCTCTGACTTCTCCATGTGCCGCCTCTGCAGGGACAAAAGAGCTTTCCGGCCAAACGGTACAAACACTATGAAAAAGGTCAAAAAAACGATTCCGTGAATTTATCAAATGAAAGTACCAGAGTTCCTATTCCCTGAACTTATTCCCCTGATTTTGCTGCTCTGAGGGAGGCCGTCCGTCCGTCTGTCTGTCCCCTCTACGTGCTGCGGTAAGTCTTGATGATGTCTTTGATCTGCCTTCTGCAGATGGGACAGCAGGCGTTGGACATCTTCTTGAGTTTGAGGCCACAGGTGTAGCACAGACACATGTGTCCACAGGCGTAGATGACCGTGTCCACGGTGTTCTCGTAACAGATGGAGCACTCGTCAGAACAAGGTCTTCCCGATGGAAACGTCGGGGACTTGGGCAGGCTGACGGGGGAATTTGGGGTTGCTTCTGTGGAGAAGATAAAATGATATATTTTTATCTCAGCCACAGAAAGACAATATTCAATTTATGTTGTATAGCCAAAAATCCCAAACTACACATTTGTCGGTGAGGACTTTACAGTCTGTACACATGCAACATCATCTGTCCACGAAACCCTGTCGTTGGCACAGAAAACCCCCCAATAATGTGTTATATCGGTCTTGCTCAGAGAGAACACAGAAGAAAAAAAAGTTGTAACTGTTGGTTACTTGCTGGCTGTTTTCACCGATTGTAGAAACAATCTCTTTTCATCGTAGAAATTTCCAGCATAACTTTTGTTGGTTTTACTTAAGCAACAGAGGACTGGGAATAGGTTTGGGAAAAGATTGTGGTTGTGGTTCAAACAAAATCACTTTTTGTTACGTAACAACTGAACTACAGTAAAATAAGTCATCGTCTCCATGGCGACAGCTTTGCCTCCCACACGGATCTCCCTCTCTGTACACAGCGTCTCATACTGATGCTGATGCCCTCACATTGGAACTAGTTCAGACTTATTGGATCAACGTCGGGTTGAGAGAAATAACTAGCTCCTTTTTAAAAACACAGCATGTGCTGCATTTCATACATCTTTAAAATATAGTTTTAAAAATATGCTTTTACAAGCTTACACGGGCTTCTCAACTACATGCAAGTTATATTATATAATATGCTTTTTATGCTTTTGCCAAAACGAGTAATGCTTAAATTGTCATGAAAACATTCTGGGAATTTCCACCTCTTTGCAAACCCATAAGTCACTTTATAGAATTAATAAACATTAAAACATAAATATTTCTTTCTTCTTCTTCCATCTTGAATGGAGTAAACAGACCATTTTAGGACACAAGCTGCACCACTTACTGAGTTTATTTAAATTTAATAGTGAAGGCTAGTAGTATTATCTTTTAGATATAAAAAAACACCCAACTTAGTGAATGAAGTGAAATTAAATGGCAACTTCTCCTCTAAATGAACCATGTTCACAACATTTTTATTAGGTTTATTGTTCCCATCTACTGCAGGATCTGCTCACTGTCCCATAACCCCTAGTGGGGTGATTGATGCTGGGCCTCATATCCGGGAGTACCTACCCTCTGCTGAGGCGCAGTACGCGGCGGAGCACAGGCCTCCATTCAGCACCGGATCGGAGCTGCCACTGCCCAGGGCGCTGGGGGTGTGGGGGGAGGACGAGGGCGAGCTGGGGTTTGACGAGGTCCGCGGATCCCCGAGGTGAGTGGAACCTAGTGGGAGCAGATCAAAGAAGGGATTAGAGGTTTGATCTTACCGGGACTCTAATTAGTTCAGGAACCAGATGCCATAAATCTATAGTGTCTCAAAGTGACACTACTGGGAACTGAGAGAATATTGTAATTGTAAAAGAATAGGATCCCAATGCAGGATGACATTGTGACAGGACGAACCAATAGTTCAGAGAAGGAGATGAGGTCTTAGAGAGGTGCAGAACCCTGTGGGCCTAATAAGAACAAATCTGAATGCTCTCTAAGCAGGTTGATCGTGATATCCTTTAAATAAAGTGGCTCAAGACGTTACAGGCCAGGTGTTCTCATAGACACACACACTGTGTCAGTGAAGCAGAGCACCACGGACTGTTTTTCCTAATCCAGGAGTTCCATTTAAGGTCACGTGAGAATAGAGGCAGCACTCTAATCTGTGAGAGTAGCCACATATTCATCGCTGAGTGTTTTAGAGGAGTCCTCCATTGGTTCCACATTCTACACGACGGTCGGGGAGACAAAAGGGAATTCGTTTAGACTACATGTTGAAATGAAAGAGAGGTCAGGCTATTAGACGTGGCCAGAGGAAACGAAAGATGAACACGTGAGTCTGAAGCCGCACTAATCAATTCTTCCATACTAGGAATGGATGAGTTGACTACGTGCAGCGTTAAGGGGGTTGTAAACTCAACTGATTTCTCTCTGGCAGTTAGTGAATGAAGACCACAGAGCTGCAAGTGGATTAAAAAGGGACTACAGATAGTAGATTGTGAGTTCATCTGTCATATGGTTAAAAAAATGAATACAGCTTTAAAATGACCAATTTGACCGAAAGGACAGTATTGCGCAAAGAGAAGCAGACACCAGTCTTTTGAGGACCGCACCTACTGACACTCATCTTGTAGGATGCTCTGACATCTGTCGCTCTGCCAGCGACACCAAAACACACAACACATTTAGATGCAAATGAGCTGTCTGGCAGAGCGAGCATGTTATCGCCAGCTAAGAATTCCCATCAAATGCTTTGCTGCGTCTCGCCGTAGCTGCAGATTACTTTAATTACCTTTACCGAAGCTGGCTGTCAAAAATAGCACACTAACTGATTCAGACGTCAGCTGCTGTGCTCTCATGAGATATTGAACCATCCTATTTCAGGAACTGCTTTGTCTCAAAGCGCGGCTCCACTGGGATGAATCTTAAGGAGATGCACTGACCAGTAACATCACGCTGAACGTCCCAGCAGACCTCTCTGCACCAGCAGTGTGATCAATACTACTGATGCCCGGGCCAGGAGCCGCTTCCCAACACGGGGCCAAACAATAACGATTCCTTGGACTTAAGAGCAAAGCAATCATGTTGTGTTATAATTGATGTCTGTGAAGCAGTAGTGTTTTTGTCACAGTTGGCATGTCATCGACTCGCTTATATATCAGCAGCTGTTTGGTGTGGCGGCATGTGGATCGGGGGTTGCCCCGCTGATCCTGGCAGCTCAAAGTGTGTATGATCGTGTGTAACGTGATGTAACAGGTCATCTGCTATGCTCTGCTCTACCCACAGTCTATGAATAGATAAAAGATAAACCACAAGTGTGAGCACAGGGGACACCATTGCTGGACACAAGAAAACCCTCAAGCTATTTCAATCAGCAACTGCTTTCCTTCCCCTCTAATAAAGACCACTACCGGTGGCAGGAGGTCTTCAAATAAGTATATTGGTTACAGGAATAAGTTGTGTGAGTTAAATTGGGTATGTTCGTTAAACTCTACACGGAACATGTGTGCGGTCCCGTGTGTGAAAAAGTCCTGTGTTTTTAGTAGGGCTGCAACTAACGATTATTTTGAGTAGATTAATCGGTCGATTATTTTTTTGATTAATCGGATAAAAAAACGATGTAATTAAAAACCTTTATTCTAAAAGAGAACTGAAAATTCACAGTTGCAAAAAGCTGAGCCAGGATCTGTGCGGCCCAGCAGTGATTCCGACACTACATCAAACCCACCTCAACAGCTGCCCGTCTGAGGCCACATCTCTGCTGCGAACTACCTCAGCCATGCTTCCATTTTTAGCATCTATGGGAGGCATGCAGATGATGTGGGTGGCGATGGAGGGCTGGGGGCTTAGTATGCATTTGTGTGTTGAACGATCACAACGTGTTCAAGTTTCTGTGAGCAACAGATTTGGCTCACTTTTTACAATACGAACCGAAGGGAGGGTAATGGTTAAATGTGTGGACTTCACATGCTAGCATGACACTAACATGGCGCTAGCTAGCATTGCACTAGTAATAACAGGACCCAACTGCTGACAAGTGGCTAAAACGGCCAAAGAAAAATGGGTCACGTCTTTAGTTTGCTCGCTAGCCTTCACTTGCCCTCTTGGCCGTTTCATGTACAGGCACCTGCGGGCAGGCTAGGCCACACTCTTAAAATTTCTGCGGAATTTTCTAGTTTGATAGATTATACTGAATTGCCTGGGAGGGTGACAAAAATAATAAAAGAAAGATTGCCTTTTGTCATGTTGGATTCAAGATTAGATATTTAACTGCAAAGTAGTAATGTGTCTTTGATACCTTAATTGTTTTGCATTAAATCAATCTGGCCTTTTTGCAGAAATTGATTCGATTGCCATAACTACGTTTTCCACCAGCCCCCACTGCTGGATACCCTGTTTGTGATTTTTTTCCCCAGGCGATTCTGGATATTTTCATTCTTTTTTTCTGTGTGCCATCTTCATTGATTTCTTAACCAGTAACATCTATACCGATATATCCCATCAGAACACACTCATAGGTGCATCTTTTATCAGCAACATTTTCCCATTTTCATCATTTTTTGAGCACGGGCCTAAAAAATGTCCTGGTTTTTGAGAAGCAGCTATTGTTCTCAGTTATGGGACAAACGTGGCTCAGCTGTGTTGCATGTGTTCCGATCGGATGAGAGGACAGCAGCTCTGATCATAGCTCTTTAAGGTCAGGGCTTAACCCTGCTGCACAAGATGTTAATGGTCTCCTCTATCCGCAGTGGAGATGTTATCCCCAGAGATAAAAGAGCTGTTTTGGATGGAGGACACGGTCGTATATCTCGGAGCTGTTCAGTCTGTGTTTGCTTCCATATCCATGTATAATTACTTATTTGCATATATCAAAAAAGGTAGAGTGCCCGGAAAAATGAGAACATGTCTGACATTTAAAACTGCATGGATTGAGTCACTAAAATTGTCAGCGTGTGTTGTAGTGTATATGTATGCAATGGGAGGACGATTAAAACTCACTAGCAGAGCTATATAGTTGACCTGGACAACCCTGTCTTATCCCTCTCTGTACAGGGATTGGCCAATTCAGCCCGCCCCCAAACACTGTCCACCATTGTACAATAGACCAACCTGAGCCATAAAACCATTAAAACCAAATGGCCTAAGTGCAGAGAACAAACAGGAGTGACCCCCCCTGTCAAATGCTTTCTCCTGGTCTAGTGACAAAACACCAAAGTAGACATTTGTTTCCTGCATATGTCCAAATTGTCTCTCGTAAGGAAAATGTTATCCACAATAGCCCTGTCCACAATATAATTGGTCTGAATGTACAATCAGTACCAGAATGCCCTTCAGTATGTTTAATAAGGCTCTGGAAAGCACCTTGTAATCAGTCCAAAGCAGCGCTACAGGCCTCCTGTTTCTGGGCAGCGCCAGGTCTCATCTACGGCAGCAGACAGAGCACCGCTCGCTGATAGAAGACCGATTCTCCTGTTCTCAATACTCCAAAAACACCACATTTATGTTTTATTTAAAGAGAGCCGCTACCCCTGCACTTACATTAGCAACCATAGGCCTCAGTCCACCCTGTCCAATGGAACAGTGTCTGACAACACGTCCACCTTTTTGTGGGTATATACACTTCCATTACCACAGCCCTTTTTTACCGTCTCACCCGCCGTTCATGTCTCTCAGTTTGACGTATTTATTAAATAGAGATGCTGATCTCAACAGCAACGGCATTTTCTCTAACTGAGCCGGTCGCACGAGCCTGTTTGCCTGCAATACCGCTGTCCGCCACCGCAGACCTCTGGGCTTCGGGCCCATCGGTCTTGAGACAGGCCCGCCAAGCTGACAGGCGAGGGCGGGACCAAAAAGGGAGGTCCGTCAGCAGCAGGCACCATGGCCGCGCAAAATGTTTGTGACCCACATTCAAAAGCACCTGAGCGGTCCCAAGCTGGCGGACACCATGTCGGAGCTTCTCCCGTGCTTCACTCTGAAGGACGCCTCCAGGGTCCAGTTGGTGAGTCCAGGAACGTGAACACCTGCCGCCTTAGAGTGTCCCTCAGTTTGGGATTTTTACATCGCAAATTTACTGTTGTTGTCCAAACCCCAGACCTGGTTCGGCATTAACAGCAGTAAACCGACATGGTGATCCGCCTGGCGGGAGCTGACAGTGGGGACACCTTCACAAATGCATCCCTAATAAACAAATAGCTGATAGACAAAAGGCTCCTCCCTCAAGAACTACTGCTTTGTTCATTCTCGATGGAGAGCTTATCGTGTCCTTCCTGCTCACCGACAGCCAACAAAACCTCCTTCACGGTAACACTACGATCCGGAGGGACAATCCTCACTACTGATAATGATTCCTTCACGCTTTGTACAAGTAAGAGGCCTCGGTGAGGACCGCTTTATCTGGCCATCATGAAAGCAGAAGCCCACTGGGGGAGCCGAGCCGTCAAGTTCAACACCCTTCACTCCCATTAAAAAGGCATGGCTGTCATTCAGCTTCACAGAAAGTGATATTGCTCTCAGTTTAACAAAAAGCAATAGATCCAGAGCTGCAAAAGACTCTATTTCAAAGCAGCTGGAAAGTAAAGATTAATATCCCCTCAGTGGGAATTATTAGATGTGCTCTGATAAGGAGACAAGTGTCATTGTTCTTCTTTTCCTGTGTTGTTGTGTTACTGAGGCTCTGTACACTGAGAAGACCGGCGGTCGGTTATTCCAAAACAGGAAAATGTAATTTAAGAGTAAAGCAGAAGAGCTGAGAGTAACAGAGTGTGTAGGCTTGTTGCAAAGTAAAACGTGGTACGGTTTGCTTATGAAAGACAAGATGAAACACAACTGAATTGATGATTGGGGAAACCAACCTGCTAACTATGTCACCGATTGATCAGCTGATGAGCTGATTTCACCACAACAACCCAGAAAGGAAAAACTACCCACGAAACAAAGCAACTGGAATCAATAAAATGGATAAGGATCAAGTAGACACAAACACACTCCTCATCAGCGGGTGAAAGGAGCACAGCTCTCGTGAACACAGAGAATTAGCTTGCTCATACATGCAAAGAGCCGGGTTCTAAATAATGGATGCTCAGGATTCAGCCTCATCTCAGGGTCAACCAAGGTTTAGCGACCGGTGGCGGGGGGCAGCCATTGGCCGGGACACGGACAGGAGGCTTGGGAGTAGGCGGCAATCGGGACGCCAACAGGAGTTGTGGAGCCGGCCAGGCGCGTTCGCCAGAACTGTTCCGAGGTTCTTGGAGTTCTTGGAGGAGACGGAAAGTCAGCGGAGCGCTTCGTGGCCCTCCTCAAAACCGGTTCAATGATCTCGCTGGCCGGGTCTCAAAAAGGAACCTTCTGAATCCCTTTTGTGGTTCGTACTGTGAGGATTCGCTACAGGCTAAAAATGTCTTTTACCACTCTAGAACCAGGAGATGTTCTAGGCCTCTGCTCAAAAACTGCATTCCCAAGATAAAAAATCTGTGTGACCACAATCTGAGTGTCATTATAAAGGGAACACTTGTGAGGTTTTATCCAGATAATGTAAATATCAGTAGATATATGTTGTAGGTTAAGACAAAATTAAGCTGGCACACTGCACAAAAGGAAAAAGTGTCAGGTTTGCCTTAAATAAAAAGGCACTTTTAGGATTATTATCCCTTTTGGAATTACACAATTAAAGTAAAGCTGTCAACACAAACGCATTCATCTATGCGATTATGCAAGATTAATGCAACATGGTATTTTAACATAGTTAACCTACCTTTGTTTGGAAGTAAAGCAAACAGAGGCGCGACATACAGCGGAGAACTGTGCAGAGGAATTCCCCCACATGTCAAACAGAAGGGGGGTGAGTGGCAAACGGACCACGTAAAGCACCGCTATGCTAAGCTAGCTGGAAGAGTTGCTAGTTCAACATGTTCCACCTGGTGGATTTCTGCCAGGATGATCAAATGTGTGTGTTTAAAATAGCATTAACAATTAAATTACCAATTAAAGTGTCTATAATACACGTTGTGAAAAGTGATCACACTTGTACAGAGCGCTCAACTTTTCAAAAAACCTTGGAGTGACATTTTGTCGGGGGTGACCATACGGCCGGGTGGCGCGAACGCTAAAAATCTATATTTATATATATATTTCAAAAAATGCAATTAATTAGTTCATTTTAGAGCTTTAAATTTATCAGATCACATCACAATACGTATGTTGTTTGTGTTGTAACATTCTCTCTGCATAGGACGATTTGGATAAATGGATAAAAGGACACATTTTCAGAGATTATTTTAGTACAGATAGTTTAGACGAGGAAGTTGCCGGCTCAGGTTAGTGTTGTTTGGCCGGAAGCAGCGGAACACTTTTTAATGGCAAACTGCTAAGGGACATTTTACCACTATTGTTTATCAAAAACAATTTCTCTTGTTGATGTTCTTTGGCTGCGGTTTGCTGAGGGTTTTCCCAGAGAGGGCTGAGCTTCATATCTCTTGGATCTGCAGCCCGTGTTCTTTATGTAGAAATCTCCTTTGTGTCTTTAGCCCAAAGTAGCGCTTAGCTGCGAAGGTTTCGGCCGGCTACGTTGTCCAACATAGAATTGTCGGGTGTTTTGGGGTTGAGTTGGAGCTTGTAAATACTGTATGCTGTGTATACATATACTTGGAACCCTGGTTCTGCGGTTTAATTTGATGTGCAATTATATTATATAATATTCTTTCTTAATTAGTTGCTGTTAACGTTGAACATTCCTCAGAGGCTTAAGACAAACACATGCCTGGAGGCGAACAAGGTCAAGGAACATCAGAGCACAAAAGTCAGGGTCACAGGGGAAACCGAGAATAACAGACGAACCCACAACAGGAAGAGACGCACACGATTTAAATATATTGGGGAGATTGGACCCAGGTGGGCGCAATCAGGGACAAAACAGACCATGGCTGGATTCCAATTGTCAAAAAATGAGCCCCTAACGTCTATTCGTAACCACGTCACGGGGTCAAGGAAAGATGGTTAGGAGAATGTTTGAGGACAACTGCGACTTTCACTGAGCTCTGTAGTTCTGATGCGACGGCCAGACGCATGTTAGAGACGTCAGTCTGCAGCGAAACTACAATTTCTCTGAAGGTGGACTACAAAGAAGCATCTTAGAGGCCTCCGTCCACGTGCTGAGTCATGCAGACCTCATAAACAACCACGTTCAAAGTATTACTTTATTAACAAGGTGTCAATATAAATGATAAACGGTTATTTACATGATGTATTTACATCTCGTCATGATTGTTAATTCTCGGCTGAATGATACGGCCGAATGATACGTCCCTCCTTGAATATCGCTGCCGCAAGGAATTGTGGACGGAATTATCTCCTTTCCTTTGGTAAAGGATGGTCCAGTGGTTGCTATGCTAAAGGAGCTAAGTAGGGAGCATTAAAGCTCCTTTCCTGTCTTCAGTGATGTCTGTTGCATGTCTGGCTGGAGCTTTGTTGTTCCTCTCTAACCTGTTTCTAACCTCTGCTTTCCTTTTCCGCTGCCGTCAGTGAAGAATCGCAGGATGTATTTATGGATGCCTCTTCCTCCACGCACACAACTGAGACACCTTTGGAAAGGTTAAAACCTTCTCAAGAGCTGCATTAATCAAAGAACAGGTTCCCCGGCTGATTGTGCAACTTTGCATTATAAGAGTGCCTTGCCAACTTTCTTTAGCAGATGTGGGAACCCCCCTCCGCCACTACATACAAATCTTGTGGGAAGGCATTATCCTTGGTAGACCACTAACATGCAAAGTGTCCCACCGCTGGGACATCTTGTTGCCCCCCCCTGCAGCATCTCTCCACCTCTGCTCACACTTCCCGTTCCTCATCTTCTGGGTCCACAGAGACTCTTCTTTTCTCTCCATTTCTATGAATGTGTCCAACTGCTTCCTGGTTGTAAATATTGTGTCCCCCTTGGTGCTGCTCCTGATCCCCGGCAGTAATTTCCAAACGGTTTCCCCCCCGATTGGCATTCTGTCAGAGCGATCAACACTTAGCACAAATAGATTTTCAACCCTAGGAAGTAAATAAATTCAGCACGTAGCCGAGGGGTGTCAGCAGCGGTGTGCCGAGCCAAATGAAGATCGATATCCTGATCTGTAGGTTCCCGACCTCCAGGATACATCGCAGTGCTCAAAGGACGGGTTTCTTCCACCTGAAATGACTCTCACGTTGGATTTTTCCCAAGATAAAGCGAGCGGTCTAAAAACTAAAGTGTGCTCATCGCTCCCCTCCAGACACAGACGAGGCGCATAAATCAACAATTAAACGTTTCCATCTCATCCACTCTTCCGTCTTGCGTCTTTCTTCCCAAAAACAAAGTCCTTGGGGTGCTTTTGCATGCTGTCTAATCAGGTTGTCCAGTTGTGGAGTGCAAAAAGCACTTTACATTAGTTGTATGATCAGTAAACAAATATTTTATAAATAGTTCATAGCAATATGTAGTTAGGAAATTAATATGTTTATGTTAATGTCAAATATAAAAGTATAGTTCTAGTATAACTATATTTTCTGTGTTATACATACCTGTGTTTTCGTATAATATCATAGATCCGTGTGTTTTTGATCACAGTTGGCGTTAAGAGAAGGGCCAGGCGGATGGACGGTTTAGATACAAGAACAATCGATTTTGTTGGCGACAGAACAGTTTACAAGCCCTCTGTGTGGGTAATGGGCGTCAAATCTGTCGTTTGTGCTGGGAGATTTTTTGCCGGAAACGCACTCAATATCAAACATCGAGGGGATACACTTTTCCTACTGTAAAGAACCATGACGGAGACCAGATCTGCCAGAACTATTCAATAGCAACTAGAAAACTAGAAAAAAGAACTAGAACTAGAAGATGTTTGTCATGAACTCTCCATACGAAAATGATCACTAACAGTGATGTTCATGAATAAAGGCCTCACTTAAATGTGGTTAAAAAAGTAAAACTAGGATGGACCCAAATAAAAAACCGTAGCATCCAGAATTTTTGGAGTTTTAGTATCTTAATTAATATCTTCATCATTAAATCGCCCACTACCCCCCAAAATATTTTTGTCAAACTACTTCGATTTCACTTACCCAGAATCTTGAGCTGAGTCACAGCGCCATGGAGACCGAAGAACATCCAGAGGGGGCGGGAGTTGTCCACGCACACCTGCATGCCCACATTGGCGCCGTTGTGGCTGAGGATGACCTCCCCCTCCTGGTTGACTAGAAAGCCCAAGATGTCACTGCTCTGGAGAGGCGTCGGCACCCGACACACCGCCCAGAACTCCTTCCTGTCCACCAGAGCCTCTGGGTTGTAGGGTAAGTCGCTGGGCCGCAGCACCGCCGGGTCGCAGGATGTCACGCCGTACGACAGCGAGCCCGAGCGGGCCGGGCTGGACATGGTGACTTTGATGAAGACGGTCTCCCCGGTGCGCAGGGGCCGGTTGGTGAAGACCAGCGTGCGTTCGTCTCGCGCGTGCTCGGATCGGGCCACCGTCTGCTGGTCCAGAGTCTTGATGTGAGCGCCACGCAGCTGGTGGAAGTGGAGGTCGCTGTCCAGGGCGGACGGCAGCAGAGAAGACTGCTGGGAGTTGAGGGAGTTCTGGGGTATGGGGCAGGTGGAGGAGGAGGAGGCCAGGTGGAGGGTGTGCCGGTGGGAGTGGTTGTGGCCGTTGCTTCCGTCGTCCTGCTGCAGGTTGAGGTCACACAGGCTGACGGACAGGCGGGAGTCGTCAGCCTCACGCCGGAGGGAGGACGAGCGCACTGTGGTGAAGGAGCGCGGGCGTAGGCAGTCGGGAGGAACAATCGCACTGTCTGCAAAGAGACGGAGACAGAACGGTGCTTAATAGTGGTCGCACTGTTATCTCAGACTTGAGGCAGTGAAGTCTGCAGTCAGCTGGATCACTGAATAGAAAGCAAACAACTGTCAGAGGAGCTGATAAAATGATGAAACAGAAAGAGAAAGCCATTTGACTTCATTTGGATGCCACGTACGCTAGTTCTAATTACTCAGATCGTAAGAAAGGGTGTTCAAAGATTAAAAAAAAAAAAAAAAACGTAGTCTGCTGCAGCTGAATCATCTCCTCTAACATAAGACAGGAAAGTGCTCTATGGAGTCAGTCAGTAAATTACTTCTAAATGAAGCCTGTTTGCGTTGGTTGCATTCCTTGCCATCCATAGTAAAGTATCACTCTACAGCGAGTCATCAATGGCATCCAACATGTGTCCGTAGCAGTAAGAGTGGTCACATAAACCCCCCTGATCTGCCCTCAGGCGGCTCACAGCCTCATCCTGCTCGACACGGGGCTCACCGTAACACCGCTGGATGTGCTCCACCTCCCTGCCTCCCTCCTGGCCTGCTGGCTGGGGTAAAATTGGCCTGCCACCCTGACAGAGACCCCTGCTTACTGCAGAGCAGGGGCAAGAGCAACTACCTGGTGTGTCCCTGCTGGGCTACTGTACAAACGTGAATGTGTAACAGGATGAACCAGCTCCCTATGTAGATATGAAGGGATCCTTATTCTCAGGTGAGTATACACGAATGGCATCATTGTCAAAATAGACAATGGAAGTTGTTTGCATGAATAAACCAATATAAAATGAAATGAAACTGCACTAAACCAATTAACATTCAAAATCAAAGCAGTATTCTCTTTGAGTCCTTCCAGAACTGCACATCTTAACTGAAACCACTTCTCTGATTCATCTACTCTTCCCTCCTACCATCGGTCCTCTGATGGTCTCGGCCGTCATGAGAACCCCAGCCAGCACCAACAAAACCACCAACAGCGGCCATTTCCGTGTTTCATGCCATTTCATCAGAGAGAGAGACACTTGCTGAAGGGAGGCTTTAAGTTAAGTACGTATAGCTTAATGTGGCTCTGGGAAGGCCTCTCCCTTGGGGATACAGACAGCAGCAGGCATGCTAACGGCTTAGCCGCACGACTGATCGGGATACCGAGCCAGTGGCGGCCTACTCTCTCCGATTTATGAGAAGATCGGAATTACACCACCTAACAAAACTGTATGTGTGGGGGTCTTGCAGAGACGGATTCCTCTGCTGCACATCACTTCATCCCATTGGATTACGAATGGACAGATTTTGTTGCAATACCTCCAGGACATGAAGGAGGACCGGAGCTGCTGAGAGGATGATAACATGTCGCAGGGGATAACAGCGGATGAGGTAAAGCCAGGAAGGGGAGGTGACAAAGAGTCGGTGAAGGGGCAAATCAGCGCTATGTGTGCGTGTCACTCGGACTCTTGTGTACAACAGACTGTGTGAACACAAGCAGTAAATGGATTCCTCCAAAGATATCAATAAAAAAAGGTCCTCTGTTCTCTTTTATATTGTCTCCCTTTCCTCTTTTTAAAGAGAATCCATTTGAAAGCCTTATTGGTGTGTGTGCGCCACTTGTTCTTTTGCGACTTTATTCCTCAAAAGGATGGAGGCACTGAATGTGTTGTTAGCCTCCCGGGCAGAAAGATGACTGAAGCCACAGTAGAACATTGACCATGCATTTGAAAAAGTGTGTGTGTGTGTGTGTGTGCGTCTGTTTGTGAGCTCACCATCTGCTGCTCGCTTACCATGCTGCACCTGCGCCTTTAGCTAATGCAATCCTTTTGTCTCATTGGTCCCTTTTAAATTCGCCACTCACGGATCCTTCCTCCCATTGGCCGAGGACTTCTCACTATGAAAGCAGCTTTAAACATTGTGCGTGTTTGTGTGTGTGTGTGTGTGTGTGTCGTGCAGGAGGATATTGTAATGGGGCCATTGAAGATGCAGCTGCTGACACTGTGAGCCTGCGAGCGGAGGAGGGGGATTTATCACCTGATTCTTCACTTTTGATCGAATTTCCAACCAAATGTGGCACCTGTTGGGCTGAACCAATCATTTGTTCATGTGGGGGAGTGTGATGACTATGGGTTGGCCCGTTTGAGATGCCGAGCGTGCTTTGATTTGAATAATTAATCCCCTTTTGGACTCTTCTATTGTCTATACATGGAAGGGAAGGGGGGGGGGGCAGCAGGGTCTGTCTTGGCCCTCACACGCTGTAAATGTTTTTGATTATGAGATAGCCGCGAAGCCGGCTAACTAAGGCTGTGCGTGGGGGGGTGGGTAGTTGCTCAGGCTGGCTTAGTGGCTTTGCTGGCCTGAGCAGAGGGAACACGCAAACAGTTTGAGCCAGTATCGGAGAGGGAGGGTGTGGGGGGGGATTTACTCTTGTCTCACGCACGCAATCTATTTCACAGGGCTTATCTTCATCCGTAGGCTTTGGAGGCTGTCATCTGACGTCGGCAGAGGTGAAGGAAATGAGAGACTTGGAGGAGCAAACGAAAAAGGGAGAGGAGAGACTGTTGGAGGGAACAACAGGACGTGAGGACAGAAGGTGCACCAGGAATTATTTGGATCCGCTGGGAAGGAAGGTCCTAGAGGGGGATATCCAGTGAGATTTGGAGAGCAAGGAGTCAAAGAGACCAAAGAGGCAGCGCATAGAGACCGTCCAAGCGCCTAGGATATAATGTGGCTAAGAGAGAGGTGGAGTCAGAGAGGTCTTTGTGCTAGATGTTTGGGATGTTCTTTATTCCCTGGCGCTGGCCCAATCCTTAAATCGGCCTGGGCGGGTTTGAACCCATGGCTTTTGGAAAGAGCAGCAGGCTCCTGAGGCGACACATGGCCATAACAAAGAGCCAGGCAAAATGCCCAGTAAGTCACAAAAGCTCTATCCCTAAGGTCATCTGTAGAATCCAGCATGTCCTGCCCCTCCTCCCCCCCATCGCCTCTACCAATCAGCATGCCATACCACAGCGCTAATAACCTCCATCATACGGTTCTTATATTCAAGCCCCCTCGTTTTATTCCTGTGCTCCAGCACGAAGGCTCATATGAGGTGGGCGACCCTCTCAACACACGCGTGTCCACCCCTTTGCTGTCATTCTGAAAGCTGCACTAATGTTTCTATCCCCAGGGAATCCAGTGCGCGCCACTCACCGGATGTAGGACGTTGAAAAGGGAGTCTGTCTGTGATGGTCACACTGTTCAGCCCCATCGTCTTCAGCTAACCTTGGTTTGAGTCCAATCATCTGCCTGCTCCGGTTCAGCGGCCCATGCATTCTCTTTTTGTTCATGTTATAGTGTTCCCACGATTTCATTTTCAAATGGTGTATGTGATTAGGTACAATGGGAGCGTGTCATAAAGAAACACTCATACACCATGTGAGCCCCTGATGTCCCTCTGTCTCAGGCAGGGGGCAGTAAATATGGAGTTGACTCCCCTGGAGCTTCTTCACAAGGCCAGACACTGACCCTGGTAAGAGAACTTCTTGAGCATGGGAAAGACACACAAGGAACAGCAAATAAATACTGATAAGGTACCTCTTATTTAGCCCATTAAAAAGTTATCTTAAGTTCAAAGTGGAATTCTTCTGCTCATGACTTTTGATACCTCTACTTCAGAGAGGTAGTTAGTGAACTGGGGAATCCAGCCGAGGAACAATATGTTCAAAGTCAAACAAATCCAGTTTATTCTTCTTGGCCTTCAGAACTTTCTGACCAACATGACTCATAAACGATAGGAAGCCAACTGAAGCCAAGAAACAAATTGGCTGTGTTTGATGCCTAGCTACATTTCCTAAATGAGTACAGAAAAGGCAGGTTCTACGCCATCTTTTCTGCTTTGTGCATTTTTGTTGGAAGGTCTTTGTGAAGAGTCCGTACTTGTATATAAGTGCTGCTATTAACTGGGAGGCTGTTCTGCCAAGTCAAACACCGGCGCTACTCAAGTACGCTAAATAATCAAATCATTTCACTGAAAAGTAATGGGTTTGTCCCAGAAGAATGGAACCCTGGTCTGTCTCTTTCTCTGAGCTGGGTCACACAACAAATGTTCCTAAGAGGCTTCTGACTTTATGTTGCTGGAGTCCTCGGAGGGCAGAAAGAACATCAGAGACTATTTAACCAACCAGTTGAACCTCTTCCATTCCCCCTCACTGCCACAGACGTGTTCTTGTCTTTTATAGGGGGGCGTTGACGGGGTGATAGCAGGACAGCAGTAGATGACACATAGAGGTGGTGTACATCATCTAAAAGCTGGGAACTTGTAGAGTAATTCCAGCAGTGTGTATTTAATATACATCTGTATTGTGTGTATCTGTCATAAACCTATTGAAATGTTTAACGCGTTGGAGTGTATTTCTAGTTGAAACAATGATAAAAACGGTTGTGCATCAATTTTTGGATTTTTTTAGCCAATACAGGCTGTAATCATGCTAGAGGTTACAACAGGTCATTATAGTGAGGTTGATGGTCTCACTATGTAACAAGTCTCTGTCCCCCCATCAAACACAATCAGTGTAATTCGAGACTGTAGAGACCCAGTATGCAGAAATAGCCAATTATAGCATTTTAGAAACGGTGAGAATAACACATTCATACTGCATCTGATCACCATAGAATGGGCATGTAGACAGAGGGAGACTTGTTGATAACCATACAACCCATTTTCATCCACACATCTTTAGCTGAGAGGACAGAGGAGCACTTCAAAAATCACTAGAATGTATCTTCACATTGGAATGTTATTCAGGGCCTCTCTAGATACGCTAGCCTGATATGGTTGGAACCCATAGAGGCCTTAATATAGGTTTTATATGATTTAAAAACAGACGGCTAAAGTCTGTGAAAGTTACTAATAATGGTGATCCAAATGTCATAAATAATACAATAATGGTCTTCAGATACTGCAGGGTGCAACCTGCCAATAAGGACTATCGAACATTCACACAGCGCAGGAACTGCTTGTAGGTCCAATTTGGGGTTGGGTGTCCTGCCCGCGGACACATGGACACGAGCAGAGTTTGAACCACGCTGTACCTCTGAACCACTGTAGCCATTGCAATAAACAGAGGAGCAGATTGTGCTGTCATGTGCAGATTTAAGAAAGTGCTCATATGCTTGAGAATGTAAGAAACCTGTATTGTGCTTCCCAGTTGATTTGAAAAAGTAGAATACAACTGTTCTGCCAATCACAACAGCAAACACTTTCGCTTTCTGGTGCGACAACAGAACCTCATTCACCTGTCAAGACCTACAGTGTCATTTAATCCATCACCTGAGCGAAGCACAGATATCATTTTGTAGTAAAAGACCTGCTCTGTTCTTTGAGTTTGACCGTCTCATTGAGAAGTGTCAGTGTCCTGGAGGCTTTGCAATCAGACTGTATTCTCCCGTCCCACACCGGGTCCCTCTTGATTAAAGCTCCTATGTGACTGACTCATAGCATCAACAGCTGGAATTACTCAGTAACTCCTTCCTGATGTCCAGTGGAGTTGTTCGGGGCGCATGATGTGTGCATATTTGTGTGTACACAAACAAGTGATGCTAACCTTGGGGACGGGTATAAATGAAATGACCCTTTTCTGTGACTTCCAGCACAGCTTCAGTCTGCCCAGAAGATTACGGGTTGTCTGACACCTTTTCTTTGTGGCAAAAACATTCTGGCTTCTCTTTATGAGTTACTCTGTGGGCAAAACTAATTATGTATTACCCTTTTCTTCTACCACTAAATATAATAATCAAACGATTGACATTAGACGCTCTAGTTCATTACAACATTCATTGGGCGAGCTTCTTAAAAACTAAAACCGCCTCGAAAAGACAAGAACTGGTTGATTCACTGTTGATTTTAGAGGGTTAAAAGTAGGCCAAGTAAACCAAGAACTGAGGAGGACAAACAGCATGTGGATCAAGACACGCAGTCTAACTAAAACATAAGCAAAGCTTCCATTTCTGCTTTTGGATTGTTAGGAAGAGGCCTTCAAATAGGCAGCAGTTTCTGTCTGGGCCATTATGAAAAGGAATAGTTTAACTCAATGGAATAGTTTAACTGGTACATTTTGTATGTTTAAATATTGTTAATTCTTATTAAGCCTTATTAAGACTGTTTTCCCCCCACCAATGAGTCTTGTGTCTTTGGACCCACAGAAGCTGCTTATGTAAAGGGCCCAGTTGTTGGAAGCCACATCATTTGTTCTGTCTCAGCTTCATTAGCAGGATGGAAGATGGGACGGGACACTCTTAATTGTTATTGTCACGCTCACTCCTGCCGCCCCATTTCCCCCTTGTATGATGGATCACCCTGGTCAATCCTCTGGGGTGGATTATCACATGACGCAGCTTCTATTTTGATCTTTCTACATCAAAGCCACTTCAAATGTTGCCCGAGGTCATCCTTCGCTCTCTTACTTCAGCTCTGACCTCAGAGCTGCCTCCGGATGCTGAACTGATGATATATCTGAAGATACAAAGTCCCATGCAAAATGTTCGCTCTGAATACGTGCTAAGATATAAAAATGAATATCAATATCTTCAGAAGAAAATGGTGGACAAACAGTAGTAGTGGCATTTATGAACTAAAAGTTGACTGGAATTAGAGGAAAACAAAGTATACGAGTGACACGAAGAGAAGATTAAAAAAATCTCCAGCTTTCTCGGTCTCACTGCTGCACTGAATGTCTTTGGACCTTACTGAAACCTTCCACCTGCCCAGGTGAGCAAAGAGTGAGAGGAATGAAGAAAAGACGTGTAAGTTACTGCTTGTATTATGGCTCCCTGTGGCTCAGCGGTAAAAGGAATCGTACGTCGGTGTTTCCTTGGGCACCTGACTCCACTTAATGGTGTGAATGGGTTTGAATGTTAGTTAGTCCTGATGGGCAGATGGTTCTTTGCATGGTCTGAAGGGCGAAAGACGTAGCGTGAACGTGTGTTGAGTGGTTGCAAGAATAGAAAAACACGATACAATTACACTCCGTTTACCGGTTATACCTCAGATTATCTAGGGATCCACACCTAAAGTAGTCTTCTTTATTTAAATAATGAATTGCAAGCAGACAGATGGCTTTAGAACTAAGGCTGATGTAGTAGTGATTTTAACTTGATGTTATCGATCAGAGGTGGTGTACCTCATCTAATCGATCAGCAGATAAAATAAGGAGTGAAAGCAAGAGGAAGGCCTCCGATGTGGCGACCCAATCCGAGGATAGGGAAAGGTTCATGGAGCGCTGCCCCAGAAACGTGATGCACAGAGCTGACACAATTGGCCATTCAGCGTCACAAAGGGACGTGTCTAGTCTGGATAACGTATTTCTATCTCCCACTTTTCGGTAGGGTTGCACCCCTCTGAACAGGCCCCTGTTTGTGGGGCCAAATGTTCAGTCAGTTGGCCCCCTTAGGAACATGAGCTGCTCTGCTGGCGGCCCTGCAGGTGGCCTGACTCTAAAAAGACGATAGGAATGACTTTAGTAGGACTAAGCAGGAGCCCGGTTTAAGTGCGTGGAGTCTCAGAGAGGTCAGATGTCTCTCAGAACGATGAATTACAGAAACTTCAATCACAGCGAACCTCGGGGTGGTGAGCCTCTGCTACCTGATATTTGAGCCATTTTCTGTATGTCCTATTATCTGATGTTGATCTGCTAACTGTAAACTATTAGGACAGACTTACATACAGCAAAAAGACTTCATGAGCCAACACTAACTCAAAAGGTAAAACACACAACTATATTTATGTATTCTCATGAAACTAAACTTCCAGCCCCAGCTCCATGAAGGCAACACTCAATGCAGGAGACACAATTACAATATCTATGGGCCACGTGACCTCTGGTCTATTTTCACAACAGAGGGAGGACAGCACTGAATCTCCAGTGAAAAGAAATGTGGGTCTACATTCTCTCACATCAAAGCCTGACCACACTATCCTGGGCTTTGCATGTTAAGCTCCCCAGCATAGCTGGATAATGCACAGCAGCCCCTCCTCGCTGCTCTGTGTAAACATGAGGGGCCAAATATTTGCCATATATAGATAGCCTTTGTTCCTTGTTGTTCCATTGCTTCATGGAAGGCTTTATTGGACACTACACAGGAAGGATAACCTCTAGAGGGGACCTTTTTTGGTCACCTGCAGAAATTAAGACCTCATGTCTTTTAAAGGTTGCAAAAAAAGATGACACAACGTGTTATACACTACATATATACATATCATTAGCTAAGACAAGGTATCAAGGCTGGGTGAAATAGTAGCAGGCTTGAGGCACACCGGATCACCGTAGGCTTTGCTCACCTGTAGCCTTCAGTGCACGTGAGCGAGGTGGTTTGTTTGACCAAACCAACTGATGAGCCATCGTTGGATACTGGCCTACTACTGGCTCAAACGCTAATCCCTCCGTACGGTAAAAAAAAGTGATGAAAGGTAGTTGTTTTGTCAGGGGTTATAACATGTGTCATCCACCAGATATACTATCCACTACCATCTGGTAATACATCATCTTAGACCACTATGATCAGACATTACGCAGGTATCTGGGTAGTAGATTGATTGATTTGATTTGGAGGAACAGACCTGGCTAGAAAGTATGAGACATCTCATCCAATCATCATTCTTGCGCAACTAGGCAGTAGCAGTAAACTGTGGGTAATTTAATTGCAATTATAAAACTTGCAGGTACAAACCTATTGATTTTGTTCGCTACTACAAGCTAACCACAGCCTCGCACATGAAAACTAACATTAAAGTTGTCCTGGAAACGGCCACAAATGCAGTTACACATAATGGCTGCCATGAGTATCATATCCTTCTATTTACTTGAAATATATATGTGTGTGTATATATATATTTAATATACTGTTCTGGAAAAGTGTTTAAAGTGAGTTTACTCTATTATATTAACCATATTAATCACAAATAATGTATTTTGGCCTTCAGAGAGTGTGGCTTCTAGAGGCAGTTGCCCCTGGTTCTCGTTCAGTAATTTAGCTCTGCGTTTTATGCTCCTCCGACCATCTTACCTAGCAGCTGCACTCCGCGGGTCAGACCGTAAACATCGATGAGGGCCCAGAGGGGCTCGGCCGTGCGGACTCCACTGAAGAACAGCATAGGACTGGACTCGTTAATGCGGTAGAAGACTCTGCCCTTCTTGTCCACCCAAAAGGCAATAATGTTGCCCTCGTTGGCAAACTCCTCAGGAAGGGCCTTCGCCCAGAAGCCGCTCTGGGCCACCAGGTCGGGGCAGGCGTATTTGGGCAGGTTGTCTGGGTTTATCCTGGAGGGGTCTTTGGCAGTGAAGCCCAGACGTACAGCCCCACTCCAGCAACACTGCTTTTTAGTAATCTGGGGAGAAGAGAACCATATGTGGCTTTATTGGTATTATTTGGAAATTTGATAAACGTAGAGACCGCCGTTTGACCGTGAATCACCCCAGACTCTAAACTTCTACATGGTTTCCATCCCAATGTAATCACTGTGTTGTTAAATCTGCACAGTGGAACTCCACACATTAAGTGTATATGATAAAAAGGTACCATCATTTAGTCAGTTTTAAAGGCCACTGACTTTTAAGGGCTCAAGTGCTCCACTCGGTCATAGAATACCTTGAGGCGGACTTGCTCATAGAGTGCCATAGGCCTGTTGCTGAAAGTGATGGCATTGCAGAAGCTGGCCTGCCTCTTCACGGTCTTCTGGGCCAGGTCCATGACGATTTGGGATCCCTTGGCGTTTGGATGGAAGAGCAGTGGAATGATGGGGAGGGGCGCGCCGACGCTGCCGCACTGGATAGGCAGGCACCTCCTGGGTTTGTGGTGGCATCGGTGCGACGTGGAAGGGAACGGGCCACCCAGGGAGTCTGAGCCAGACGGAGACAAAGGAGCACAGAGTCAGTTGAGCTTTACTGCGAAACACAAATGTCCCCGTATGGAGCAGCAGGTTAGGTTTAGTTACTTAATCAGAGTCTTGGGTTTTTGTTTCAAATTTGAAGAAAAGCTTTACATTACAGAAAATGATATCAGATGTTATAACATAATCTGAGATTCCTGGGTTCTTGTATTTGGGTTATTTGTTGATTTGGTCTTAACACTGGCTGTCTAATACTGAGGCAGATGGGTTTACATTGGAGTTGATGAGTTTAGAGTGAGTATAGGTTAACATAATACTTACCTCTAACATAATAACAAGATCAGTTACTTGGCTAAATTGACACCTTGATATAGATAAAATCCTTATATAAAAGAAAGATGCCTAATAAATCATTTAATCTTGCATTCCATCTTGCAGAGCGAGACTAGATTGACTTGATAATTGAAGCGTCCAGATGATCCAGTCAATGTGTCTGAGCGGCGTCTGGGTGAGCAGGTCTGAGGGGTTGTGGGAGCACAGATCTGATGGATTTGTATTCTGAAAGCGAGCTGAAACCTTTGTCATATTCCATCACTGCCGGGATGTTAAATGATTTCCTGGAGTTTCTGTATTTGTATCACAATATTTTGGGATTGAAATGGTTTAATTTAGATTTTTTTGTTGAGCCCATTTTCTGTCAGGTTGTCAGGTCTACTCAGTTCGTACATCAGTTAGTGATCAACATTTGATGCAAGTTGAGATATAAAGTATAACTTCTGATTCATAGCAGTGCATGCTTCCCACCTGTGTCGCATTACGGAGCGTTCAATCAACTGTCAGAGGAGGAATTGGAATGTCGCTCTCTTGGATTCATTTATCCCGGTAGGATTTACAAGCCCACCTTTTCAAATCAGAGAAACTGATGCATCAGCAGGAAAATCAGCAAAACCTGATGTTTACCATCATGTTTCAGTTTCTTGAGTTTTTTTCTAATCAAACTCCAGTCAGTATGCTGAAAACATTTCCACAAGTAATATATATAATAATATATAATATAATATAATAATGAAGTTTTTTTCCTACCTGCGTCAGGGGCTAACTTAAAAAATATCAAGAATTTTGAAAATGTCAAATTAGAACCATAGTAGATGTACGTACATGTATGATGGACTCACTCAGTCATAATCAACGAGGACTTTCTGACTGACATGTTTCGTTCTTGTGTCCCTCTTTCCTTTGTCTCCATCCTCTCTCTCCAGTCGGCGTTAACCTAGTATTGCCCATTCCAGTTTGTCCCCCTGTAAGCCCCAAACTACGGGCACCGCTGAGGCCTTTTGTCTTAGGCAGCGCCGCAGGAGAGCATGTGTTGAATGTGGTGCACATGGTCCTGGGCAGATTGGGCTGAATGCATTACTGGGCTCTAAAGAGGCGCAGCTGCTGTACAGGGAAATTCAAGTTCCTTAGCAACCCCATGCATCTAAAGATCCCGATAAGGGCACTCTATAACTCTGTGGCTACCAGCTAGGATACAACAGATGCCTTTTGTTTACTCAGATACAACAACGTGCTATTTATGATCTCAGATGGTATCTTTTTTTGCAACTGGGCCCACGTTTGGTTTCTTAGTCTATTCAAACAAAAGGGGAATATGAGTTCAAAGAGCAGAGATAACACATCACTTCGTTTTTGCTTTTCTGAAAGATCATTTCATCTTTTCCACAATATGTTCACTAACAATACGTCCCTAAAGACACTACATCTTTGCAGGTATTTTTATCTGCCCGTCAATGAGAGCCGTACCCAAAACTAATGGGTTGACTGCTGAGCAGCTACACCCGATTACACAAAAGCAACACACCGGAAGACATTTGGAGCATTTAGCGCAGGCCTGTTCCATTGACCCATGGCTAAGCCCCGCCCCCGCCGCCACTCGGTCAAGCGGTCAGGGCGACCTCATAACAGAGCCCACATCATCACTACTGATGTAGATATTACAGTTTTTGGAAATGGTGATTATATTTGACATTGGAAATTGAAATGTTCAGCCTCGTATTTTAAATTGGGCCTTTATTAAAAACGTTCTTGAATTGGACTGATGTAGCGGCTAGAAAAAGGGCTGAAAAGGAAAGACGAAACGGTTGTTAGGTCCTGCTTTAGGAGATTATCAACAGTTAAGACAATATACTAACCTTGTTTATAGGCTTATCATATATTTTAGCAACACACCAACAACCCTGTTTGAACATAAAAGGACGGAGCAGAAAGGATGTTGAGTTCAGCACTATATTTACTTCTAGACAAAATGTACTTCATAGTGACAAATAAAATCAACCGTTAATAATTCAGTGTGGACACTAACGCCTCATGATGTTGTTTAAATGTATTAGAGCGAGCAAAGCCACCTTGAGCCCACTGGCCGGTCTCAGTGCTCCTGATACCTCGGCAACACAAACCCTGGAGTACATGCTCACATCCACACAGTGTTATTTGTGGCCCCTTGATGCAAACAGCTTGAAAACGGCTCCTGTTAACATCACCGTGATAGATGCCTCTTGGAAAAGAAAACTCTGTTTGTGCACACAGATTGATGTATGTGTTATCTGTAAAAAAAAAAAAAAAGGCTGTTTAAACAGCCTCACGGGAGCATTTGCTAAAGGTCAAGAATGTATGATGGAGGAACAGAGTAAAAGGCTTGTATTCCTCAGAGAGTAGACAACACTGCACTAATAGCTGTCATACACCAAGCCACATCTCTGTGGAACAGTAAACTCACCTCTCATCGCTCAGAGGTCAGCTGTGTGCGTTTATTTAACCCAGGTTTTGGAGTTGTTACCTAAGTGGTTTACATTGCAAATAGGATTTCGTAAGTGGGAGAAAACTATTCACAGTCAAGCTGTATCAAATGGAATTAGGTATTAAACAGTGACTTAATTGCCTTTATTTGGTTGCTGACGCCTTGACAGTAAGTTACACAACAAACATACTTATTTGAAACCCAAACCTAAGCAGATAGCTTCGCATTGTAGGAGCTTGTGCAGGCGCACCGATGACTCACAGGGATGGAAATACGTCCCAAAAAGATATCATACCAACCGCTCTGTGAGCATATGGTGAAATAAGGAGGCTTTCTGATTCAGTTCCATGTAACACGTGTTGGATCAGTGTGTGTACAAACCATTGATCCAGACCCCCAGCATGTGTGAAACCATTAATGATGCAAACATGACGAGTCTATAGCATTTAGTCGTAACAGCAGCGGTGCTAATGGAGCACAGGTAGCCCACATAGCAACCCACTCCTTCTTCTTGTTGCTACGTACAGTCAAGTTAACAGTCTTCATCCATGTCTAGGAGAAAACACACACACACACTCACACCTTCAGGCTATTTTAGGAATAAGCAGGCATGCAGCCTAGTGTTGGGTATTACGTAGAAGAACAAATGGCTAAAACGTACTGCTGTGCTGGAGGTCCATCAGATGAAACATTTATCTTATTTTAAAACCATGTTAACTGTCGTGTTTTTACACCGTTTCTCCCGGTCCCCCGTTCAACAATCGATCAAATGTCCCCTTAGCCGGCTCAAATTAAACCCATGATTGATGTCAGGCTATCTTGGCTCCTCTAAGGCTGATCCGCTCTCAAACAGTGTGGTTAATTTGAACAAGATGTCAGTCAGGATAATTGCGCGTGGCCGTCCCACTTTAAAGGGGGGGGCGGGGGGGGGGAAGCGTTGAGATGATCATGAAAGTATTTTAGGGAATACAAGTCCATAGTATCATTTCTGTCATAGGAATTGAATGTATTGTGCATCTTTTACGTTGTTCATTCTGTGCACATGACATCATCGCAGTCTCTCCGTCCTCCTCTGCCTCTCACTGAGGTTTCTTCCTGTGCCGATGTGTGGGTTTCGGGACAGAGGATGTCGCATGTGTACAGACTGTAAAGCCCCGTGAGGAAAATTTGCGAATTTTGGGCTCTACGCTCATATGACTAATATCACTCCATCAATGGGATCTCTGAGGAGGGGAGCTGCCATTTCTTTCTGGGGGGGAGTGATAAGCTTATCCAGACTTAAATTAGCCTGCGCCGAAGCAGGTTTTGAGTTTATGGATGTGTTGCCATGGTGATTTTGCCAAACTTGCTTTGTGGAAGCAAAAAGCCTGACTCTAATATTATCCTGAAAATGACCCAGGTCGAAGGGATGGGGACACGGAGTGATTGCAATCATCACCACATCATACAGGTAGACCCATGAATTTAGTCTTTCACACAAGATTAGGGGTGTAAATTGTGGCTCTCTAGTTGCCGTTATTCTCCTTAGATCCATTGACCGTGGCATTTACAACGGCACAACGAGCTTAGAGGCCAATGACAAACAGCATCTTAATGATGTTTACACGGAAGTGTCTGGATGATGAATTCAATCCCACTGACTCGCAACAAAACGGCATTCAGGCCTGATGTAACAGCCACTGTTAAATGAATCACACGATAATAGCGGCTATTAATCACACACACATTATCATTTGGGCACAGATGCATCACAATACAGCTGAGGACGGCTTTATGCAGTTTACAGATATGTGCTTTTACATTGCCGTGAGCAGAGACAGTAACCGTAGCCTCCATTGTACCGTACAGGGACAGGTAGCGACGGCTCATTACACACACGTCACTCATTTTGTTGGTGGTAACCAAAGGACTTGACGTGCTGCTAGGCAACGTGACGACGATCTATTGGTTCAGTGTCGATGATGTATTGATAAATATAATTGGGCCCCAAGGTAATGCTGCTTGATCGGGGGGGTGGGGGGGTTTCCATGATGACACCGGAGATCAGCCTCAGGTGATCCTGTAACTTCACACTGTCACCTCCAGATGCACTGCTGCCTCGCTCACATTGTAAAAATAAGGCTGACGTGGAATTGATCTTTGCCTTCATTCGTTTCTATGATATAAATGTGAACGGTTGTCCGTGCGTAAATTATGTTTTCATAGAAATTTCGCTCAAGTCTGTTCAGGCCAGAATGATGAGATTTATTGAGCCGCTTTGCTCTTACATACGCACATTAGGTCCTCGAGGGGGACAGAAGGTGCTGGCTGGTGCTAGAGTTCAGATGGTACAGCATATTCCTTAAAAAGACAAAACGGCTTTTGAACTATATGCTATTGAAGCTGTTGTGAGAATCTTCTGCTTTTCTGCTCTTCCGTTAGATTGACAGTCTGCATTTTGCTTTCACGTGCTTTTTTGATGTGTGACTTCTAATTTTCAACAATTTTCAAGAATAGATGTCTTGTAACCAGCTGAGATAAATAATGTGGGGCAGACATGATACATAAAACACATCATGAATTATAATTTTGAGTATTTCTAGTTCCCTACCTCGTGCTTATCCTACTGTAACGTCACTATCAATATTTCACAGCGCGTTGACCTGTGAGTGAAAGGTTAGACAGCTGAGGTGATGAATACTGGCTGACTAGTTTTACTGCCCTCTCTTCATGAGCAGCGTCACACAACGTTTTAATAAGTAATAATAGTGGAGTGGATGGAGATCCTCTAGGCAGGAAGGCGAGCGGGCTGGTGGAGCGGCGTAATGACAGAAAACAGGCAGGACGCTGTTCAGGGCTGGAAGACATTGTGTGGGCTGTGCCTCGAAGGTGGCCTTGCTGCAGACACACACTAACACACACATGATTGAGCGTGCTGGCTGGACAAATGGAGGTTAGGTGAGTCCACCCTGTGTGTGTGTGCATTGGGGCTGCACCATTGTGGCCAAAAGGACACTCAATTACTTTGATCCCATCGTGATGACTAGTCGACGTTGGTGACAACGTGCATTTAGTGCTCCTACAAAAGCAGCATCACATGACTCAGGATTTTTAAACCCTTTGGGATTAATTAAAGGCCTTCATTTTTCATGTGTCACTTTTCTACATAGTTTGCTTTTCTATTTGTAACTGAATAAGAACCATTTCCTCAAACGTTTGCTATCGTGAGGGATTAAAAACAAACAAAGCATCCAAATACCAAACTTGAAACTGAATTTCTACCAAATAAATTCAAATGATGGTAGTGAAATATTCGGGTCGAACTGCCGGTCCTCTGGTTGAGGTACTGGTCTCCACAGTAATATATATGAATGTACCGGATGAAGCGGAGAGTTCTCCCCCGTAGGCTGACCGGCAGTTCAAGAAGCGCTTGCTGTGATACGTAGCACTCTTTTTATGAGTGAAGCACTCTATTTAAACTGCAATGCCGGGATCACAGCTAATATTTCATTAATTGTGAAGCCCCGTGACAGACCGCTGAGCAGGAGGAAGTTGAAACCTTATGGGAGACGAAACAATACCACCTGACCCTGTCACTCCGTAGCAACCGTTCAGGCCTGATCAACTTCCAACCTCCGGCTCCGACACACACAAGAACAAAGAAGGAGGGAAAAAAAGGAGATATTCTCAGTGGTAGTGGATGGACTGCATGCGGTGTTAAATATCCACTGCTTTTATTACCCAACTTTGAACAAGAAGTACAAAAGCAAACAAAAGGAGAATTTTAACGGACATTATTGAGGCGTACAAAAATACCTGGGATAGATGAAACATAAGCTCATAACCTCCCAATGTATTGGAAATGTCATTAAAATATCTCGAAGTCCAAGTATGGAACAGGAAGTTGTACCGACACAACCCATTCATCAGAACTCTATGGCAAGGAGGTGAAAAGTATTATTATTACTTATAATAATAACTCCCATGACCTTCTCTCCGGCACCCTGCAATAATCTCTAGACTGAGATCATTGAGTGTAATTAGGTACCTTTTTTATTGGACCACACTCTCGGGTCCCCATTGAAAATAATGGAACCGTGGATGTTTTCTCGTTGAACAAGAGTCACTGCTATTGAGAGTTATGTACAGTCACTTTTATTTGGACACCACCCATGAACAAAAACCTTCTGACCGGATGGTATCGGGGGAGGTCAGAAGTTTTATGCAGAATACACAACGGTGGTGTTTGACCTTTGTCCCCAAAGAGAAGCGGCTGTCGCTTCCTCTGGCTGCCATCCTAGTCGGTCTTTAGCTAATTGGATCAATCCAGAAGCTTTAATTAGAACTCAGCTGGTCCAAACCAAACAAGCTGGGGAACAGGATTAACTAAAAACAGGTCCACATATGTGTCCACACTTTATATATCCAAATATAATGACATAACGATGGCATGGTCATTCCATATAGACATGTAGGGGCTCCAGATGGATACCATCGGGATGGTTTGTCTTCTGCAGGAGTTGCAGGACTACTTCTCATCATGAGAAGCAGTTTCTGCTGATGGCCATAAATGATCACGCTGCCTCGACCTTAATATTCCCCGATGGCGCAAAGGGAAATGTACGCCGAGGGGAAACCACGCCGCAGCACCGGGCAGAGGGGCGCCCGCAACTTCGGAACCCGAGCCCCTCTCCACGGGACGGGTCCCCTTCATCGGAGCGCGAGGCGTTTGTCAAAGGGTGACGTTGACTTCTGAATGACGTCACTGGGACCAAAGAATAGGCTCTAGTGGCAATCAGGTACCTGATGGTGAGAACAGAGGCGGCGCTGGGAGCGCACCGCTACCGATGGACCCCCGGAGCCCCCCGACCGAGCACCGCTGGCCCACACGGCACCGCATGACACACCGGTTTGGACCACAGATAGGAGCTCCTTACCGTAAAAGGCATTTCGCGTTATCTGGCCGCCCATTGCTTTATTCCCGTGGAGTCCGCGTGTCGCCTGAATGGATCACTCAGATGCTCGCGCGCGCGCACACTCCGGCGCTCGTGACATGGCTGCACGTTGACGTCCGGAGGCGGCCCGTCGCGTCTTCCCCCTCCGAATGGATGCGGCCGCTGACCCACTCCCTGTTTCTCGTGAGCGCAGGGACAACATCCCCCCCCCACCACAACCCCTCTCCTCACCCCCACCCCTCCATTCGGCGCGCGCTCCCTCCGCCTCCGGTCCCACTCACTCTCTCTGACATTTACATAAAAGGTGGAGACTGGCTGAGCGCGTTTAACGCTGTCGCTGCCGCACTGAGCGCCCACCAGACAAGGGTCGACCTTCATGCTTTGTGTGTATTCATTCATGAATCATAGAAATACAGCGTACAGATCCACAAAAGCCTGTTTAAAAAAAAGGGAAGGAAATGCATGGATCCAGCGGTCACATTCTCAGCACTCTTTCACCTTGCATAGCTCCTGCGTGGCCCCGGGCCCCTGGGAGACAGACTCTGGAGTCGAGTGGTGACCTCATGGGAACTGTGGCACTGTGAACGACAGGCTGAGTGAGACCATTTTCCTCCACTCATCCATGGTGGTATTAAAATTTACCAGGCCTGTACTACCGGTCCAGATCCTTATCTTTTGTTATCCGTCTTAACTGACACGAACAACAACAGGGACACTCAAAAACAACTCAATTAATTTGTTGTTTGGACATATTCTCATTGGTAGAAAAATAATTGCTCTACTCATCCCCTTGTGTAAGTTATGGTTTTATCACTTGAGCATTATTCCACAGTGCATCCGGAAAGTATTCACAGCGCTTCACTTTTTCCACATTTTGTTATGTTACAGCCTTATTCCAAAATGGATTAAATTAATTATTTTCCTCAACATTCTACACACAACAACCCATAATGACAACGTGAAAACTATTTTTTTGCAAATTTTTGCAAATCTGTTAAAAATTAAGAACGAAAACATAACATATACAATACGTATTCACAGCCTTTGCTCAATACATTGTTGAAGAACCTTTTGCAGCAATTACAGCCTCAAGTCTTTTTGGGTATAATTCCACAAGCGTGACACATCTATTTCTGGGCAGTTTCTCCCATTCTTCTTTGCAGAACCTCTCAAGTTCCATCAGGTTGGATGGGGAGCGTCGGTGCACAGTCATTTTCAGATCTCTCCAGAGATGTTCAATCGGGTTCAAGTCAGGGCTCTGGCTGGGCCACTCAAGGACATTCACAGAGTCCCGAAGCCACTCCTTTGTTATCTTGGCTGTGTGCTTCGGGTCGTTGTCCTGTTGGAAGATGAACCGTCGCCCCAGTCTAAGGTCCAGAGCGCTTTGGAGCATGTTTTCATCCAGGATGTCTCTGTACATTGCTGCATTCATCTTTCCCTCAATCCTGACTAGTCTCCCAGTTCCTCCCGCTGAAAAATATCCCCACAGCACGACGCTGCCACCACCATGCTTCACTGTAGGGATGGTATTGGCCAGGTGATGAGCAGTGCCTGGGTTTCCTCCAGACATGACGCTTGGCATTCAGGCCAAAGAGTTCAATCTTTGTTTCATCAGACCAGAGAATTCTGTTTCTCATGGTCTGAGAGTCCTACAGGTGCCTTTTTGCAAACTCCAGGCGGGCTGTCATGTGCTTTTTACTGAGGAGTGGCTTCCGTTTGGCCACTCTACCAAACAGGCCTGATTTGTGGAGTGCTGCAGAGATGGTTGTCCTTCTGGAAGGTTCTCCCCTCTTCATAGAACAACGCTGGAGCTCTGAGAGTGACCATCGGGTTCCTGGTCACCTCCCTGACTAAGGCCCTTGTCCCCCGATCGCTCAGTCTGGCTGGGCGGCCCACTCTAGGAAGAGTCCTGGTGGTTCCAAACTTCTTCCATTTCCGGATGATGGAGGCCACTGTGCTCATTGGGACTTTCAATACTGCAGAAATCTTTCTGTACCCTTCGCAACATCTGTGCCTCGATACAATTCTGTCTCGGAGGTCTACAGATAATTGCTTGGACTTCATGGCTTGGTTTATGCTCTGGTATGCACTGTCAACTCCGATACCTTATATAGACAGGTTTTTGTTCTTTATTTTTAACATATTTGCAAAAATTTACAAAACATTGTTTTTTTCATTATGGGTTGTTGTGTGTAGAATGTTGAGGAAAATAATGAATTTAATCCATTTTGGAATGAGGCTGTAACATAACAAAATGTGGAAAAAGTGAAGCGCTGTGAATACTTTCCGGAAGCACTGTACATACAGTATTTACAGTGTGTTGCATCTCCCCAGGGATGACTTCATTGCATCAAGGTATAACAGCTCTTTTCACGCAAGGGATGTGACTGTAAGGCACATATGTCAGAGTCAAGGCCCGCGGGCCACATCCGGCCCGCGAGAAGGTTTTTTACGGCCCCTGGGATGATCTTGATTTATTATTAGAACCGGCCCGCAGACCGCAGCAAGCCGGCAGCCCGCAGATCTTTTACACGCACCAATACTACATTTCCCACAATGCAACGGTGACGCACCGAGCAGTAGGCTGCTTCATTTCAATATTTATTGGCACAGCAGTTGTCAGCATCACAGTAAAATTAACTTTCAGATACCCATCAAAAATGGCAAAACGGAAGGTGGACACTGAGAACCGGGGGTTTCAAACAAGGTGGGAGTCGGAGTATTTGTTCACGGAGGTAGCTGGAAAACCTGTGTGTCTTCTGTGTGGAGAAAGTGTGGCGGTACTGAAAGAGTATAATCTGCGTTCCCGAGCGCACAGTTGGCTGATAAAATAGGTATGCTTGCCGCTGACTTTCGACGCCGATTTGCTGACTTTGAAGCACAAAAAAGCAGGTTGGAACTGCTCGGTAACCCATTTGCTGTTGACGTGGAAAGCTCACCACCAAACCTCCAAATGGAGTTGATTGACCTCCAATGCAATGATGCACTGAGGGCAAAATATGCGGCAGTGGGTGCTGCGGAGTTCGCCCGTTTCCTCCCCGACACAATGCCCCAGCTGCGCATCCAGGCTGCTCAAACGTTGTCTATGTTTGGCAGCACATACCTGTGTGAACAACTGTTTTCTTTGATGAACTTGAACAAAACATCACACAGAAGTCGACTTACTGCTGAACACCTCCACTCAATTCTGAGGATTTCCTCAGCTCAGAGCCTTACCCCGAACATTGATGAACTTGTGGAAAAGATGGGACACCACCAAGTATCACCCTCAACCTCAAACAAGTGAACATTACTGTGCAATCACATATTTAGAGTTTTTACTCAGTTCAAGTTTAAAAGTTAAAGTTTAATATTTGTTTTCACTGCATGTTACTTCTCCTTAAACAAAGTGTTGTTTTTGATTAATAGATTTTTGCACTTTATTTTATTGTATTTCAATCCAATTATATTTTAAAAATATTTCAGTTGAGTGGATGATAGAAAATTGCTATTATTGTTTTTTTCTTTGAAGTAAATTTAGCCCACTTTTGCTAAAATAGAAAATATAGGCTACTGATGGTGCCTTGAATACCGGTTTCTTTCATTTAATGTTCATGTTATGGGGATTTTTATATAAAGGAAATTTGTCTTTTGTGTCTGTTGAAAATTAAAGATTACTGACAGAGCCATAAGAAAATATTGCTTTATTTATCTGATCATATTGGAATATATTTGTTAGGTTTTCAGTAGGTTCAATTAGGTTCACTAGACTATATGCGTCATTTAAAAATTTTTCAATGAACATTCGAACAGTCCGGCCCTCGGCTTGTAGCTAAATTTTTTATTTGGCCCTCCGTCCATTTGACTTTGACACCCCTGCTGTAAGGAGAGCTGTGACTGGACACTGGCCAGAGACATTTCCAAGAAAAAAATGATACTTGGGTTTTTACCCGAGCCATGTCTTGTAACCTTGCAGATACACAGGAGAGGAAAAGCCTGAAGTGAAGTGCACTTCCTTGCCTGGCTTGATGTTGGTGCGGTACATAATTGCATCGTTAGAACATCCTTCCTTTGTACAGTGCCTTTAACTTCCTGTTTATACCTTAACCTTTAGGCAGTTTCCTCTGCAACATGCTTGAGGCGCATGCCAGAGAGTCTTTATCTAAAATGACACATCACTTACTCAGATAATGAGATTGAAGTTCCAGGTTGAAGTCTTTTTTACCAATATTTGGTTGGGAACTGTATATATAAAAAAAAAAATGTAACTTTTTAAAAAATCTTTGAACTGTGATGAAATGCCGTCAAATTATTGTAGCTGAATGGAAGCCAACATTGATCTGTACCCTGAACCTCTTCAAACCATCACCCCCAAATGTAACAAGGTAGTTTTATTTTCTTAAAAATAAAACTGCTAATTTTTGGGGGGCCTGGCTAGGGTTAGGAACCAACCCCCTTCTCCTCTGAAAAAGGCACATTGCCGAAATGCTAGAAGCTCCACTTTTAGAGTTTACTTCAAAACTGTATCGGTCCTACAGGCTTTATGGGAATGAAAACGTACCTGGTCCATCTTAGTATGTTTTTCTTAAAACACTTTAGTCATCCCTATACCATTTTTTTACAGTTTGGTAAAGTTGTTGCCCACAAACAGGCAGCCCTCTCTGATTTAAAGGGTGTTCTGTGTGCATAGGCCAATTACCCCTGTCTGGGTTTGCTCTTTAGCAGAAAAGTTTTTTTTGCACTTAGTCAGAGATTTTTTTCTAAAAACAATCTTTACACGCGTTTGCATGTTTTGGACAAGATTTCTTGGCACAGAGTACCTCCCAAAACGGATGAATTTGACAAAACATTTTGCATGTCAGTGCGTTTGCACATTGCTTTTTACATTAGTGCCCACTTGAGTGGTTGCCCCAGGGGGGCTATTCTTGGCTGCCATTCTACTGTAAAAAATGGTTAAATAAAGGGATCTTTTGTGGAGGGGGGGGTCTTTCACAATCAAGGGGCCCCCAAGCATTAACCCTTTTCCTATTATGGAAAAAAATCTGAAATTAAAATCAGTTTTTTCCACTGAATTAATAAAATTTGAACCAAGTTAATTTCTCATTTAAAAAAAAAAAGATTTATTCACCCACTCGGGTGAAGAGGGGCTAAATCAGGGAAACAGTCATCTGGGGAACCAGAGGACATCAGATCCTTGACCTGCAAGAACGCA